GAGAAAAGTTTGGACAATGGGAGTACCTTTTATTCAGGGAGCTCTTAAAAATCAACATTATTTAAACAGCGTAGCACTATTCAGAGAGCTAGTCAAAACCTGGGATATTATATTCTTTGCTTTTGGCCATAGAAATTATCAAATGGTTCGATTTTAACATAATTTACTCATTTCAGAGTCCTGTTTGAGCACCAATTGCAAGTGTAATCAGCTTCACGAATCCAATATACCCCATTCTATGCACTCTAGGATTACCAGGTAATATAACAAAAGACTGTGAATCGGTGGAGGCGGAGGCGGTGACCGTGGCCCAAGAGCCCAAGAGCCCAAGAATCTTGTTCGCAAATCGTACAACTTGAATTCCGTTGATGGTTTCGTTCGACTGGAATATTTTCGTTTCGTTTCTTTTGGGGCTTTGCTTTGGTTTGGGGTTCAGTTTTCAATTCAATTAAATGTTGGCGTACGGCACGGCAGAAGGAGGAGAACAGTTCCGAACGCATTGCTCAGAAGCTGACGGGCGTCTGGACCTTTTTTGTTTTTGCTTCCATGTCTGTGTACGTAATTCACTTTATTCAAATATGTAGTATAATAAAATAAAATGCCTGGGCCTGTATGCTAAATACAATAAGCAAAACAAGTAAACTATGGAGCTGCCCGGGCCATTGTCGAGCCAAAAGCTGGTTGCTCTGCTGCCTGGTTTGCCTCGAACCTCTCCGTCTCTCGCGGATAATTCCGATACAAAGGCTGTGGCTGCGGCTGAAGCTGGAGCCTAAGGCAGGGGGCAGGCCTGGCTTTTGTGCTGTGCGCCGGATGTTTTTTCTTCAAGTACAGAAACAGCAACGGCAACAGCATTATGCGAATTGAACTTATCTTCAATGAAGAGTGACAACGGCGACAACAGCAACGAGAGCTCAGCGATGAGACTCTCGAGACTGCGGCTTGGGGGTGTCGCAACGGATAAACGCAGCGGACAGTGCACTCTTGTGGATGCCTCCAGTGGCTATCAGTCCACTAAAGTGTACACCCACATGCATAACAGCGGATAAGAGTAATTCCAAATAGATTCTCAAGGGATCTGAAGCTGTGGTTTTGCATTATTCCACACCAAGTAAGTGCTCGGATAACAGCGGATAAGTAAAAAGAGCATTCATTATGTATCGGGTGTGATTTTCATAGCGTATAACAATTATCCGCCTAAATAGAAAGTGAGTGATTATACTTTAATATGTATCATTAAATTGTTATGAAGCTGAATTTATAGTTATCACGGGCCTTTAAAAATATCTGGGAACGACAAGGGATAAGAGAAAAAGCGAAAGTTGTTTAAGCAATAAAAATTGAAAACTATTTTCCATTATCCTTCTTTGATTGGAAGGCGGGAATAAAACCTTGAAAGATGCAAATGTAGAAATTAGCTTGGAAATTCCCAGAAAATACTAATAATTTTTGCTGTTTCCGAAAGCTTTCCTTAGTAACACACATAATAAAGGAATATTAAAGGTATAATATTCGCCGCCCCCCCATCAATATGATTTGCGTACATTTACAACACTTCCTACCGAATAAATGACACTGATAACGATATAACCAGATCTGGTCATTGATTTACAACTTATCCGGCTTACGAATCCATGCACGGATAACGTTTACAATCCAGGGGCAGGCAGGCCGACACACAGCACACATCATCAAGGTTATTTAATCAAGGGGAAAATGTAACAAATATTTACCCCTTGCTCGCGCTCTCAGTTATTAGATTTTATTCATTAACGAAAAGATATAGCTATAGCTATAGATATGCCACACGATATATAATATTAAATTTTTTGTTTGTTGCTGCTTGTTGTGAAGAGAAGCTCAAGCCCCCTGCCCCCCGAATGAAATTACTTGCACAAATTAATGCCGCCGACAGAACAGAACAGACACACAAATTGATTGTTTGATATCTCTCTCTGTCGGGGCAGCTGTAGCTGTAGCTGTAGCTATATCTGCTCTTTATAGTATATAGAGGATTTCTGTATGGTGGAACACATTCATATCGCTCAAATTGCTTTCAGTCGTTTCAGTTTTATTTTGGTCTTTATTTTTTATGCTTGTTTGTGGGCGTTTTGTTGTTTGTTTCGTTTCGCTTCTCTGTTCTGTCATTAACACACATAGCTCGGATAGTACTTGATTTAATAAATTTGATTAGGATTTACGACTCGGGTCAAGTGTGTGTGTGGGTTTTGAATTTCAGCCTGCTATAAAGGCGACCAGCGAGCGGCCAAATGTGTGAAGTTTTTCCTGGTATCTGGGCAAAATGCCATCATGTGATCGTCTCCAATAAACGGTTACGGGGAACACCTACTGTAGACATATCCATAACGTAATAAGAGAGAGAGAGCAGGCAATGCATACATGAACTTGCAGATCAATGATTCAACTTGTTACACAAGTTCTTTACTCTTATTATATGACAGAGCTTGAAAACTTTGGAATACTCTTTCAGATTCAATGAATACATAATTTAAAGATTTTTTACAAATCTTTTTGAATACCTTTTATGGATTTATTGTGTCATATTGTTTCTCTTTCTCTTGATCTCTTCTCAGGTCTCAAAAAGTCCTCAAAGTCCATATAGTAAATCTTATTCTACCAAATGCTGGGCCGTACCTCAGCACCTGCCCATCCTTCAGGCACATTGTAAACGTATGTACAAACCCACAAACCAATCTATCTACCAGTATTTTCATATATTTCAATAAAAATTCAATTTTTTAATGAATAAAACTAACCAATGTTAACGCAATTACAAGTACACATCCACTAAAAAACATTTCAAGCTAACCGCAGTTGCAGAAACCAATTAATTTTCTGGTTATTTAACATAAACCAAGTTGCATGACAACCCAAATAAATTCAGAGGTTTCTGGTGGCCACAAAGCGTGGCAGAGGCAGGCCATAAATATAAACAGAAGCACAAATGAACCGAAAATTATTGATTTTGCTGAAACAAAAAAAAATGGGGTTACCACAGGCAATAGACGGGTTCCATTGATTGTGGATCCTGTCCATAAGGTGGGTCAGTCCTAAGGAAAAGTTGAATGAACCCCGCTGGGACCGGCTACGAGTCTCAGACATTGAATTGTGTGCTGCATTTGCAACCCATCCATAATCCATAATCTCAAATGAATCATCGAATAAATCACGTTGTCGTCGCCTAGGCACGTCACGTACACAAATCAGAATCTCTGAATATTCGAAATGGATAAATATACTCGTAGATGGATTGAATGTGTTACTGAGAGACTGAATGCCAGGCGACATGTTGACTCGATTGAAATCGATTAATTCCGTTTGTCGATTCTTGGTACTTTTTTAAAATTTTTCTGCTCTTTTTTTCTGCTTTTATTTCTGCCGGATCTGTGTAATTGCTAAAGTTTGCTTTTGCTGCACGACCGGGTGTTTTTATTTTGATTTGTTTTGCCTTTTTTGTTGTTGCTTTGAAAGCATAACCGATTTGAAAAGTCGTTTTGCATAACTTCTCGACTGGCGATTGACTCACGTGAGCGAACGATTTGCTGGGTCCCTGGTGACAGACAGACAGACAGATACAATTTGTCTATTGCCAATCGTCAAAGCGTATTAATGATAAATAAAAAAACGCATATTCGTACGAGTATTCATACTCAATATCCGTTTATTTAATTGGCTCGTTCGCTGGGAAACCTCTCAGATTAGATAAAACTAAAGCATAAATTGAATTTTTTTTGGTGTTTGGCAAATGCTTGTGTGTCCAGCCAAATCCCAAGAGAAGCTAGAATTTGTGGGGCATAATTACCAAGATTTCGAATGTTTGTAAAGCCTTAATAAATATTGTCAAATCATAATGATCGCGTTGAAATAGGTGTTTTAGATGTGATTCATTTGTAGAATCATTTACCTTTATGCCTGATTGAATGCCTCACAGAAAAACCCCAAGTTGTATCTAAAAATGAGTCAGAGAAACCCGCGAAAACATTAACAAAATAGATATCTATACAAGCATTCGTGGAAAACATAGAAAATCGTATAAAATCTTGCCTGTAAATTCGTTATCTAATTTAGAATTCTTCGAAAATTATAAAATTCAACAATAAATAAAACTTATGTAAAAATAAAAATAAATTATGGTATCAACCCAAAGAGACATTTCATAATTTAGCATTACCAAAACAAATCTCATAAATAACGAAACATCTTCCCTTTAATCAGAGGGTTAAACCTGCAGCCACAAAACCCTTTATTCCACTTTCATTATCTACCCTGAAAACATCGTTTTATGGCCGTCATAAATTGTGCAAGGCTTGGAGCCGAACATACTAAAAGTATTCTATCTAATCAGTTACGTTATGTATTAAGAAAAAAGAGAATACGGAAAACCCAAAAAAGAAAACACAAGAGAAACTGAAAAAGGTTCAAGGAAATTATGTTTGGAACTCTGATTCATTTTAATTATTCATCGCTCTAACTGTTTGAACCTTTAGCCCAATGATTGGCACAAAAATTAGTATCAAAGTAATAACATCGAAGAACAAGTGAATCATGGAAGAGGCAAAAGGCACAGCACTCCAAGATAAGAAAAAAAAACTAAAAACGACACTGAAACAGGAAAGAGAGAGGCTCTCAATGGATATCGAAACTATTGATACCCTTGCACAGGTCCATTGCACAGGTAACCATAAGGATATAAACAGAAAGACAAACAAGACAACAAAAGTCCAAAATAGGTTTTTATTTAACTTTTTTAGTGTTCTGAAATCCTTCCAAACATCTCGTCAAAGTCTTTATACTCCCCCCCTCCATATTAGGGTATGACAAAAAATGCAACGAAATATCAATTTCATGCAAAGGGAAAGGCAAAGAGGGAGAACCATAGGGAGTGGTAAAGGGAACGAGATAGAACCAGGTGAGTGGGGGAGAGGAGAGAGGGAGAAAGATGAGGCTGAAAAGAGGAGAATTTTGGTGTTGGCTTCCCTTACCTGTCAATTGTCGTTGTTGTTTTTTGTGTTTTTTGTTGTTCTCCTTGTTTTCGCCTGAGGGCTACCTTGTCCCTTCGTTCGTTGACTATTTTTATCTTTTTTTCCTCTCTCTCTTGTGTTCTGCTGCGTTCAGTTTTCCGTCTTTTTATTTTTACACACACACGCGGGTTTTTTGTTTTGCTTGCCTCGTTCGTTCGTTTCGTTCTTGGTGCTGTCACGTTTTCACTTTCACAGTTAAATTCTAAAGGAAAAGGGAAAAGCAAAAGAATTTATGCTCAAGTGCTGTCGGGGGCGGGCGGGTACCAAAGCACCTTGCTGGGGCTGTGGCGGGGGCGTTTTTTTGCACCGACTCTTGACTGCTCTTTGGCCTTTTGCACAAGTGTGGGTGACGTTAGTTGGGAGAGTGTTCGTGTTCGTGTTCGTACGGAACAAGTGCTGAGTGCTGCGACGACGACCTTACACTGCCGAGCGTTGAAATACGAATGAGCCCCAGCGATGGATGACGTTGGGGCCAGAGCGCGTGATACCGTTACCAGAGTGTGCGCAAGTGTCTGTGAGCAAGGGAGCCAGAGCACTATGGGGAAAATTCCAATTTTTCGGGTATTAATTAATAACTTTTAAACAAAGCAAGATTTTTCGATGCGGTTTTTTGATTATTGTTATGTACCCCTAGAAACATTTTTTTTTTTAATAATATTAAAAATTGGAATATCTTTATTAATATTTATTGACTATAATACTCCTTTATACATAAAAATAAAGTTTTACTTTTGGAAAAACTTTATTTTGATGAAATTCAGGAGCTAAAGAAACAATAGTTAATATTAATAGAAATTTTCTTAGTTTTTTCTTAATTCATCTTCGAAATCCTCAAAAGTTTGATATGGGCCTTCAATTTCACATAATAAGAGGATTTAAAAATCGATGGGAAGGGCAAGGCCTTTATTCTTGCTGCTTGAATCAACAAAGAGACATTGCTCTTGAGTTTTTGATAGAGCTGCTGCTTGTTTTTTTAGCTCCTACCCCTTTAACAAGTAAGCCAACTTTGGATGACCAATTTGTCGATTATTGTTCCTATTTGAGTCGCTTTTGTATAATTTTGTTGTGCTCATTAACCAATTTTAATGCTTTTATCAAAATATATATAGTTCCGCATGCATTTTTTCCATTTGGCATTCAAGTTTCGGCACACAATTTGACTTTTACTCATTAAATATAGCATATGTTTTAAAACATAAATATTTTTAATAAATCACTTCTTAAAAAAATCCAAAATCGCATTTTCTTGATTGCATTTGCCTTTTTCCATGCGCCATACATCAAACAGCTGCGCGTTTGAAAACTCGAAGTCCGCTGCAAAAATTAATTTGCGCAAATAGTGCGCAAAAGTGTGAATTTAGACAAACTGCCTTTAAATCAAAATTATTAGCTCTACGACATACAATTGGACGTACACTTGTCAACCCTAATAATTTTTTTATATGTCTCCACGAACTTGAAATATATTTCCAACAAATGTGCTTTGAGAACGTTTCCTACTTTTACAAAATATTAATAGAACACGCACAACAACAAAGTATTAGTACAACCATTACATAGTACAAACCCGTGTGATTGCTATCCTTTTTAAATTTCACAAAAAGAATGTTTCGCGTTTGAATAGTGGCATTTTGAAAATAGGCTGCAAAAATATTGCAATCTTAAAGCAAGTGCTTTTCTACAGCAACAGCTGACTTTTACTGCTGTTAGACTTAACAGTGCTATGTTAGATAACATTTTTGGTATTGGACTTTAAAGTTTGAAGTTTTCTTAATATGTTACCAAAAAAAAACAACCAATTTTAATACTTTGAAAAAATGACTTAATACCCGAAAAATGGGAATTTTCCCCATAGTGCACAGGTAAATCGGTCACACAATTTGATTGCAGAACTAGTTCCGGTTCAGTGAGAGCGGGAGAACAAAGTGATAAGCAATCTCTTCACACTATTTCTGGCCCGACTCTCCATATCTAAATACATATGTACAATTGCATGTGTTCGGGTGCAATATTGATAAAATACAAATGCTAATTTTGCCGGCTAATTTATGTTAAAAGGCTATATTTTTAACATGTTTCGAATTGTTACAAACCAACGCTTCTTCTTGAAGATCGTTGCACAAGAGCAGCTGCATTTTATATATCAATATTTTTTGGCAGAACACTTCCTCCACACGTGGTTTTTCTCCTTCTTTAAGACAACAAACCAACAACAAATCGGAGGATATTTGTTCTCCCAGCTTCGCTCTCTTTACCGAACTGTCCTCTCCCAATTGAGTACATTTGTGTGCATTTGTGTGTGTTTGTGTGAGATTGCCGAAAAAGGAAAGAAAAATTACCACGAAAATATATGGTTTAACACTTCATTTAGGCTGTTAGTTAGCGCATTTTTTATAGTTGTTCACACAAACAATTTAAGCCATAAGCACTCGCACAATATATGTTTATATTCGTGTTCACAGCGCGACAAATCTTGTACTATCTATGCATTGGTATTTCTGTTTCTGTGTGAGGGCGCCCACAAGTGAGCGCGTGTGTGTGTGTGGAGACGGGCCTCCGACAGCAACAGAGCATTAGAAGGCGATATTTGTTGGCCTAATTTCATGCGGATATTCCCGAAAATTGCCTTCAACACCGACTGTGTTTACCTCTGCTCACGTTTCTCGCCAAAACCACTTTGACTTCTATTGATGATTTCACAACTATTATTTATTTCATGAATTTTCTTTTTTTTGCCTTTTTTGTTCACTTTTTGCCGCGTTCCGTGTGACCGTGGATTTGTCGATGAAATATACCGAAAAATTTATTAAATATACCGATATACCACAAACGCATTTTTCAAATCAGAGAACTTAACCCACTTTACCCCTCTCTATTTAAATTATTAAATGTTCGTAGATTCTCCTTGTAGAAAGGTGGTCCTTCCGGACTCGAAAATTTGATAACTTTCATTCTAATTTTTGTGATTGATTGAAAACTCATACTCGTTGGATTTTTATATTCCATTTAATATTAAAATATAATTTTATTTGATGGATGAATCAATTTTCTACATGATTGTCTGATTTAAAGGACTCTCTTTTATTGGATTTTGTATAAACAATGAGAGGACATCTCACCCATCATTTGAAATTCTTTTTTTAGATAGAAAAATTATACGTTTTGGCATAGAAAATTATATTGTTCTTTGTTCTTACATGTTTACAACTATATCGAGTCTTAATCTCTGAGCTTTTTACATAGCATTTCAGTTTACATTGATTAAAGTTCTGGTAGCAAATCTTTTAAATCTCATTTTGTTTTCGGGGGTTTTTTTAGTCTACTAATCGCTAAATATCAGATTGCACATTTCATTATTCTTCTGATTGAGGGCAAATGTGCAGCCGGGCGTCCGATGGTTGATTGTGGAGTGGACATGTTTCGCATAAGAACGCTCCACTTCCTGCAGGAACACCGAACGAGTGCTGGTTTGCCTGGCAAAATAAGAAAGAGAGATTACATATAAAGTAAAGGCGAGTATTTTCCCATGTAAAACTCACGTGAGTAGCTGTTCGGGACGCTGCAGTTGCATGCACAGCTTGATGCCGCTGTAAAAGTCCAAATCTGCCTGCAGACTCAGTTTTGGTTCGTGCCTCAAAGTGAAATCCTGCACAAGTTTCGCATAGGTGAAGCCCACAGCTATATGTCCCAGAACAGCGCTGCCCGTGCTGCAAAGGAAAGATTCCAAAAATGAATTAAATAATCCCACAATAATCTTTCGATGTCCCGCCACTCACTTTTGCTGTATCTCCGTCTGTGCATTGCGATTCCACAAGCTGAATCCCACCTTCCCGTTAAGATCCACGCTGCGGGCGCCGAGCACACGCCAATGTAGGCTCGCACCCGATGCCAGGACAATGTAATGCTCATGATCCTGCGCCAGAGTGGTGGCCTGATATGCTGGCGTCGACTCCGAAGCCGTGCCGCCCCACACATGACCCATTAGCTCGGTTTGGCCGCTGAAAAAGATCAGTGGACGCAGCTGAGAGCCCTGCACACTGATCTCCATGCCAGCGGTGACGCTCTCCCCGCTGTCCAGTTCATCGTCGGCGGGTATGTGATCGCTATCATCGCTAGCATCACCATCGCCCACCACAGCACCCAAGCCGGCGGTGTAGATGCCCAGCTTGAAGCTGCTCGCCTGGGCATGGCCAGCCTGAAGCACAAACTCCACTGAGCCACGCTTCAGTATGCCCTGCTGCACCTCCTGGGTGCTCAGCAGCGATTCGTTGAAGGCGGGCGACTGCGAGAGCTGCCGGCTGAGCACAGTGGTGAGGCCTGAAATGAGGAATATTTCCTTTAGCTTCTGCTCACTGGGATTCCCTGTCGCTTCCTTACCCTTTTGTCCCATAACGTGGTAGTTGTTGACCTTCGAGCGCTTGGCCAGCTCCGACCTGAGCAATCCCCTAAAACGTGGACAGATCTCGGCCAGCATGCGCAACTTCTGCAGCACATACGTTTTAATCTCAAACTGTCTGTCAGTGGAGGATAAATAGTCCAGAATGTGGCCCAGCTGCTCCGTCGTGGGTCGCAGAGACAGCAGCACATCCAAAGCCAAGGTGCGGGCAGAGCTATCGAATCGTCGTCGTCGCTGATAGAAGATGTTTTCAAACTGTTCGCGATGCGAGCTATTAAAGTTACGCGGTGGGAAGGCTTCCAGGGCCTGCAAAGCGGCCACCGATAGATTGGGCTCCTGCCGTGTCTGTGCCTGCTCCAGCAACGCCTCAATGGTGGCCACATCCTGGAGATTCTGCAAGGCGCGTATGTACAAAGCGGGCTGCTTAGATCCAAGTCCCTCCAGCAGGAACGCGCGCACCTGCTGCAGCAGCAGATCGTTGCCATCGAAGCCGCTCTGTCGCGTCAGCGTGGCCAGCGTTTGGATGATGCTTTCCCTCAGCGCCGGCTGCTTGTTGGTGGCATCCACCGTCAGCAGTCCATACAAATGCTCGACGATTCTCCTCTCTGGATGTGTGGCCACTGCCAGCGATTGCAGATACTTTTCCAGCAGTTCCAATTGCTCCGCGGTGGTCGCTGCATCGCTGTAGAAATGACTGAAGGTGGCATTGTGTGCATCGAAGGTTTGAACTGCTCCCAGCAGGTCCACCAATTGGGGGAGCAATTTCGTGTGCTTTTCGAGCAGCTTTTCAAACTGCGGCTGCTTGGTGAGGCGTGCCACAGGCAGCAGCTGAGCGTACAGCAAGGCCAGCGAGGATTTGCCCACGTTCTCGGCTTGCAGCTGATCTTCCGACTGTGCCAGCAGTTTTTCCAGCTGTAAATGAACCAAAAATAGACGTTACCCAGTGGCACCTTTGAAAGTTTTAACCTGCTTACATTTTGCTGTTGAAGCTCACTTATGCTGCTGTCCACATCCGCCTCCAGCTGGAACACGCGATACCACTCCAACAGGCTCTCGATGGCCCCCTCCAAGCTGGTTACGGCCAGCTGCTGCACCTCCTCCGTGCCCTGCGATGCATGCTGGAGGAGCAGAATGCTTTGCACAGTGCTCCCAACATCTGGCTTGGCTGCCAGCGTCAGACGGTGCGTCTCCACAGACTCTGCCCGGAGCAGAGCACCCTCGGCGGACAGATCGTAGTTGACGTGCTCCTGGGAGTGCTGGGACACTCCCAATGCCTCCTCCGGATGGTAGTTTACACGCAGATCCCAGAGAGCACACTCATTCTTGCCTTTCTCCACGCGCGTTGAGGATTTTACGTTGTAAGCGACGCGACATTGGCCTGAGACATCGAGTTCCTCGCTACCATCGAGTCGTAGCTGCAGAAGCGAGGCAATGCCACGCTCGAGATTCAGCAGGGACTGATCCCGACCCGTGTGGGCCAACACCTGATGCGGCTGCCCCTCGACCAAGCTGATGTAGAAGGGTCTGTCGGGTATCTGGCTAATCGTACGCTCTATCTGATGATCCAGGCCGGGTGCACTCACGCGACTGCCGCTGAAGGACACCTCCAGCAGCTGATCTTCGCCCTGGCTCCATACCGAATTGATTTTCAGTTCCGTCTCAAAGGTGTAGCGCGTCTCCTCCGCATTGGCTGCTCCCCCGCTCAATCCCTTGAGGCTCACCGTATTCTGCAGCTTGAATATTTGTTGACTGTTTGGTGGCACCAGCGACGCTTGTGCCACACCTGAGAGAAGGGGCAGCAGAGAAAACAAACGAAAAAGAATGGAACACGTCATTAGTGATAGAATTTGTATAACTTTCACCCAAGCAGAAGCAGAATAAGCTCATCAGAAATTTCGATTCGGATTCAACATGTGGCGGCTCGGCTGAGGTTATCATCAACAAGTGGCCCCCTCCGCCGCACAGTGGGTGGCACTAGCGAACACTAGGGAATAATTCAGAAGGAGATAAGCAAGGAATGGAATGAGCTAAGCAAAGGGAGAGATAAAAAAAGGGATAAGGGATGTAAATGCATTTAAACATTTCGAAGATAAGAATAAAATGAGCTAATGGCGAGCCAAGGTCGTTATTTGGTATATTTATTGTAGTTTTTAAGCAAACAATTTGGAGATAATAAACAAGAGATAAAATAAGACCTCATTCGAAAAACCACCATTACCAACAGAAAAATGGAAATTTTCAAAAAAAACCATCTTCTAAATAATAATAAGCAATACTCTACTATGTACACATAACTCTAATTCCAATTTTATATTTATCTACGAATTTTTCGAATGAAATTAAATCGGAAAGTTCTCCCTGCACCAATTTTTCCTGATGTTATAAAAACAGTTTATACCATTTCCCGACTTTTCTTTTCTATTTTGCCCCACTGTGCAGAAACAGCTGCTCCAATTGAGAAGTGTGTCAGATAAACGGTTTTGGTCTTTGAATGTGTGAGTGGATAAATCTCTGCGGGAGGCAAGGGCAATGTCAACGGTGTTGCTTCCTCTCTCTCTCTCTCTACCATTCGTGTGTGGGTGTGAGAGAGTTGGTTGTGATACAAACAAAAGTTGAAGTTCATTCAACTTAAAGTTAAGCGATTTCTACGTGCTTGGCTTAGGTCAAAAAGCCCCATTTAACAACTAAATATTTGCTTTAAGAACTTACCCAAACCGCAGACAGCAAGGAGAGCGACGAGGAGCACAGATCGAAGCTCTGGTTTGATAGTTTTGCTTTGGAATTTCTGCATATTTGTTGCTTCACTTCAAGCTTGAGTAATTCTTGGTATTAATTCATTGATAAGACTAGTGTTAAGCCGACTTCGAACTTTTACTTTAAAATAAAATGAGAGAGAATACCGGCAGCGTGACCGTGACGATAAAAAATAAATACCATTAAATACCATATCAGTTTCGAGAAATACCATTTAAATTCCATACCATAGACTTAACCCACTTAACACCCCTGTATTTAAAAAGTGGAGCACCCTTTGACCAGCGACATCTTTCACCTGTAATGCGTAAAATATGTTTAACTTACATAAATTTCGTGGAAATATTAAATACCCCCCTGGTCGACAATGGGATAACGTTCTATTTTGATGATTGAAATCGTATTCCATGTTCCTAACGGGATCGTGTACGTTTTGTCGCAACAATGAATCTAAAAAACGTACAGAAATCCACCATGATTTGAGAGCGAAAAATGTCGGTATTTTTTGTGCGCTAAATGCTGTTTGGCGGTCATTTTGAAAAGTATTTTAATATACCTTAACTACATATTCCGACAGAACCTCTAGCGAGGAATTTTGATATTCAATTTAATATTACTTTAACCACGGAAAATATCATCTTATCAGATAGATGAATCAATTTTCCAAAATCTGGCTTATCTTGAGGACTCCCATTAATTGGGTTACTTATTAAATAAGGTTTGAACAAAGGTAATTTTGATTTTTGTGCACCGTAACTACACATTTGCTACATATGGCACTTTGTATACCCAATTGGAAAATTTCTTGTCAATATTTTTAAACTTCCGCGTTTCAATCGGAATACAGCAGATAAAGATGGCTTTCAAACCTAAGTAACAATAAATTAACTCGTATTGGCATGTTTTTGACCTAGATTAGATTCTATATATGTCTCGATCCCGTTTGGTAACTGCGATCGCCTCTTCCAGGCCTGGCTGCACAACAAAGTCGGGAATCGCTTGGCAGACGCCCTCCTGTTGATTTTAATCTCTCGCTCTTTTCAGGTTCACCGGTTCCTTCTTTAAAAACTATAAAATCGCTTAAGTGGAGTAAATGCTGGAAACTTCGTTCATCTAAGATCTGTATATTAATTTTATATTGACAGGCCTCTACAATTTCGACGAGGACTTCAGATGATTTCATGTCGACACGTAATCAGAGGAGAGGCGCCTTTGATTGTAATCACAGTATATTAAAATGTCAGATAACTTTTTGCAGGACTTTATAGCTGCTAGGACCTCAGACGATATCTTATCAAACATTTCATTGCCATTCAGGGACAGCTTTTCAAATTCGGTTAGTTGAGACAGAAGCTGAATGTCCAGAGAATCAGCAAACTGACATTTCAAAGTTCGCAAAGATCTTGGGCGGGCCAGTTCCTTTACCTCCAAGGGATCAATCTTTCCTTTTAAACACAACTTTTGTAGCGTCTGCGACTCCTTCGAGGCCAGAGCAGCCAGGAGGCCCTGGAGGGATCCTGGGGATGATGGCTCATATGCAATAGTTAATTCTTTGAGCACGGGTAGCTGCGCAAGCAGCTCAGCGTATTTTGTTTCCTCAAATCCACACTCCAACCTCTTCAGGGATGCAATTTCAGATACTGCTGCGATTTCCTCTGCCGTGATATTTCCCAACGACAAGTCCGTTAATGTGGGTGCGTTCCTGAATCCATTGAGAATCGGCTTGCATGAAACACGTAGGGGCGATCCGTCAAGTACAAGCGAAGAAAAACATTTCAGAGTCGAAAGCTGACTGCAGTCGGAGGCATTCTTACCTATCAAAATAAGCTTAAGTGTTTCATTTGGCCCGTATGATATTGGCAAATTGTCTAGACGAATCCACATAAGCACATCACATGCATAGCTGAATGTTTGTATATATATGAGTCTAGTGCGTTATCGACACCACAAAACCCTACATTTAAGTATGCACATTATATATATGATGAGAGCTATGGTCAATTAAAGAGCGAACTCTCTGAATTAAAGCTATTTGAAAGACTTTATGACTTATATGTACGTAGAAGTGAACACATCCAGGAAACTTAAAAATGTTCACATTTGAAGCTTCATATATATTTTGGCTTCTTTTACATTTTGTACAATTAATCACCGCTTAAGATATACCAGGGGAATGAAGATTATAATACACATATATGGAGAGCAGATCGCGAGCTGTTTTTGTTGACGTTGTTAGTCTTCTTTGCTCCTTAGGTAAAGTCGCGCATCGTTGGTCTGCAGTGGAGTAATATAGGTATTCGATTTGGAATGTAAATGCTCATTAATGGATCTACGTACTGTTTTAAACCACGCTGACGGCCTGAACATCATTCTGGAGAGGAAGCCCATTTCCGAACGAGGCGCAATGGCGTGCATGTGTAGGTGGCCCACTGTAATGAATGGCGGCAAATGGAAGCCGAACAATGCATCTGTGTCGCTTAGTCCTTTGTCTTCCAAAAATCGTTTCAAGCCCTCTTCCATGCGTGTGACTGAAAGGAAGAGGAGACTCTGCTAAATGCCATTACGTAATTAGATAGGGGCAACACAACTCTTACCCAAGCCCTCGTGTGATTTGTTCAAAGCCTTGAGGCTGGCATAATGTTCTCTTGGCACTGCCAAGTAATGGTGCGTTGCAGCCGGTTTAATATCGCGAAAAATAACATATTCGTCCGTTTCAATTTCTAGTTTCGTTCCGGCATCTTGACCAGTGGCAATATTGCAAAAAATACAATTATCAACAGCCATAGTTGTTAGATTTCCCGAAAGCTCATATAATCATACACTTCATGTGTTTATAAATGCTGTCCAATAGGCGCGGAAATGACACCTTTTTGTTGATATTTTACGAGAATTTTGAGTGTTGTCAAAAAATTTTTGCTCCAGCAGTGTGACCGCGTATCGATAAAATAGACCGCCCGAGCCTCAGAAATATACCGAAATATACCTTCTTATTTTCAAAATATACCTTATCGCGCTCTAGAGGAGTACAAAATACACCAAACGCATCAGTGTTTCCAATTCAGCTATTTTATAGGTGTTCTTAGGCTACCACCAATACGATATTGCTAATCTATATATCTGGTCTTTAGATAATATTTAAATTGAGTACAGTGGGTGCTTTTAATGCAATGGAGCCATAGGAAATATTTTGTTTTAATTTAGCTTTGTGGTACATGTTTACAGCTACATAAAAGAGCTATATTCCTTATTAAAAGTTGACATTACAGAATAACACAGAAATCTGCTTCAAGTGCAAATCATATTCCGCACCAGAGATAATACAATATATACAATAGATATAGACAGATATAATAGATGTATGCAATTAAATAACCCATCATGATATTATGATGGAATCGATCAAGAGAAGAGAACTTTGATTCGTTTCCTTTTATTTGGCTAGTTTCATATAAGTTGGCAGCTCGTTTCGCTGTGCCGTGAATTTTACACAAAATTCTTTGTTGCTTTTAAGAGCGAGCCTGCAAAGATCGGCGGCCGAATACGGATTAATTTGATCAACTCCAGGCTGTACGGAGATAATATGCGGGCGTCTGTTATCACTCGCACTTGTGCCAGTGGAAGCCGCCAGCGAGCAGAACAGCTGCTGCCCAGAAACAAAAGCAAAAAGCGCAGCAGCAGCAGCGAGCAATAACAATAGTCCAATAACAAGAATCGCAATCAGTAGAGCCGACCCCAGTCACATCACATTCATTTCTGTGCGAGTGGGGAGGAGGGGAGGGGAGCAAAGGCCTACTTAGAACTCGCCCACAGTACAATGAAATGAACCACTTGTGAGACGGGCCACAGAAGAATAACATAACAGACTTGAGCGGAGGAGCAACAGGTGACTCAAACCCCCAAGATGACGGAGCAGCAGCAGCAGCAGCAGGATCTATGCCAGTTTTTGGCCTTGCTGCCACCCGAACAGCGCCAAGTCTTTCAAGTGAGTTTCACCTAAGCTCTGATTATTCTATTTAATTTTAAATCCCTTTCAGGACTTTATTCAATGCCTCAGTGGCACATCGGGCGGTACTGTTCAGTCCTATCAAAGTCGCTTGCAAGCCTCACTCCACGATGCGCCATATCCCACGCTCCAAATACTGCAGATACTCCACGACAGGTCAAAGTTGCACATTGGACAGATCATCAGTGCGGTGCTGAGTGAAATACTGGCAAACGATATCACATCACGTTCCCTTTGTGTGCTGGCAAACTTTCCGTCATGCATTTTAGCGGCGGCCACGCTGCGGCAGAAACTTATGACGCGTCTTGTGTGTGATTCAGCCACCAGCGAGCACTTGCTACTCGCCTTGTTGGCACGCCAGGACGGAGGACAGCTGCTGGAGGATCTGCTTCGGGAGCAAAAGCAAGCCATTCATCAGCAGTGCAGCGAGGGAGCACCCACAAGGCAACTGGTGCTGTGGCTGGCCCTTGGCCAACGCGAGAACTTTGTGCCCACACTGTGCCGACGGCTGAAGGACTTTCAGTGCTTTGCGGACAAAACCTTGAGAAATACTCTGCTGATCCTCAAGCTGGCCAATGAATTTGCACTCGGACCGCAGACCCTCGATGAGTTGGGCTACCTGGATCAGGCTCTGGCCGCCTTTGATGTGGCTGCCGTTTCACCGGAACTCCAGCCGGTCCATCAGTTCTTCTACGCGGACTTCCAGCGTCTGGCGGTGCTGCTGCAATTCCTACGCTCGCGGGAGGTCAGCAAAACGCTGAAAGTGGAAGCTCTGCTGCGTGCCCCGGGCGCTCTGTCACTGGTGTACGACCAAAACATTCGCTGCGACAGCCAGGAACTGTTCAAGCTCGTCGAGGACACATACAAGTGGCAGCAGCAGACGCCGGCGCTGAAATGCCTCTACCATCAGGAGATGGAGACGATCAGCTACTACACGGCTCTCGGCCATGTCTACAATGTGATATTGGATCAGGACGAGGAATCATCCATCAAGTCGAAGCTCCTACAGCTGTCCAGTCAGCTGCGACAGATCCATCAACTGGGCACGCTGTGCTCCCTGCTCGAGGACATCTTTCTGCTGGTCTTTCTGCGATGGGAGCAGCTGGACCAAACCGCACAGACCACACGTCGCAGCGAGAACAACAACGACAACGAGGAGGATGACGATGACGATGAGCAGTATGTGGATGATGAGGCACCGGCACCACACACGGCGCCACGACAGGCGACGCCTAGGGTACATTATGGCTTCATCTGTCGAGCCCCCTCCCTGCAGGCTCTCTTCACATTCCTCAAGAGCTTTGTCACCAAGAAGCTGCACTCGCAGGACTTCAAATGTGCCAGCGACCATCAGGCACGTTTCCAGCGACTGGTGGATGCCATTAGCGAGGCCCTCTGGAAGTTTGGTGTCCTGCAAAAGATTGAGCAATCGCTGGCCAAGTCGGCGCCATCGCTGGGCTGTCTTCTCGAGCCGGAGCAACTGCTTCAGCTGGTTCAGTTGCATAGCAGTGCTAGGGAGAAGGCCTCAAGCGATGATGAGAGTCGAGAGCGCAGCAATCATGCCTCCAGTCTGACGCGACGCAAGGCGCGAAAACAGCGACGAGCGATCAGCTTTAGCGGCACTGTGGACATGGAACAGTATAGGGCTCGTGCGCAGCTGCTCAGCGGCGGAGGCAACACCAAGAGAGGCGTCGTCTCGAACGAGCGATCCATCATTCCAAAAATGCTGAGCACGCCCGAACAGCTGGCCATCATGGCGCTGGCTTTGAAGAACTTTAAAGATGTCAAGCAGATTATAGAGGTAGGAAATCGCATCCATCCCTCCTTTCCTTTGTTTTTATATATGGTAAAACCTTGCCTTTGTGCGCTTTTGCAGACCTTTGGCCTGGAGCACAGCCAACTAAATCGCGAGCTTCAGTTCATGGAGCAGCAGCAGCTCATCAAACAAAAGCTGGCCACCATTTATGCCAACTATCGTGCATTGGAGGCCAAACAGGGCAGCCCTGCCGGCACCACAGTGGAGCAAATCAAAGGCGTGGCAGCCAAGGGCTTTGAGCTGTCCAAGATCATCAGTGTGGTGGATAATTTCGCGCAGGCACAGGCCCAGCGACTGCAACAGAGTCCCGAACTGAAGAGCCTCATCCAGCGGCACAGCGGCCATGGGCAGTATGGATTTTTGCAGCAGTTTGAGGAGCGCAATCTGAATGCTTTGATCATTTGCGATTTGATTGTTAATCTGGGCTTCAATCGGGAGATTACGTGCAATCTGCTGCTGGTCATACGCCGCCAGCAGCAGCAGAAGCAGCCAGCGACAGACGAAGGAGCAGCAACCTCCGCCTCCTCGGAAATTGGAGCCATGAATCTCTTGCAGAATTTGTGCGAATGCATGCGCCTGTTGGAGCGTGCTGGCCGCCAACCGGCACTCAATGAGTTGCTGTCGCTCCAAAGCCAGCCACTGCGACCCTCTGTGCTGGCAGTGCAGTTACAGCGGGAGGCTGCCTTTACCGTGCTCTATGGAAAAGAGCCCTCGGATTACGCCCATAGCTCGGAGCTGCGTGCCCAAGGTGTGCACTTCCAGCAGCTACGCTCGCGACACAATTATTATGGCCGCTTCTGCGGCTACATACAGCAACTGGCGCGTCTACTGCAGCTGCGTGATCCCAATCTGGAGTACCACAACAGCCAGCTGCTCAGGAATGATCCCTACGATGTCATCGGGGAGCTGATCTACGAGTGCAACATCACGCCGCTGGAGATTGAGGCCAATGTGGCGGCACTGCATCTGAATTTGGTTCATGTGATTGCCCTGAACATTTGCCCACAGCTGGGGCAGGGTCTGCGCAGCCGTAAACAGCCACGCGTGGTGTCGCCACAGAAGCAGGAGTCCATCCACAACTACATGGCGCAGCACAATCAATTGCTGGCTCAACTGCTGTTGGCCGTGCAGCTGGGCCAGCAGCTGCCTGCGTGCAGCGAGGGTGGCCTAGACTTTGCCTGCCTCTTGCAATTGCAGCAACTGCCAGAAGTGGAGGTGCTGGCCGCGATGCACGAGGGCAATCGATTGCTGGCTGCCCTGAATGCCTACAAATTGGATAGCCGGACCTTGGAGCAGCTGGTGACCAGCAGGGAGCTGCTGTTGCAGATTCTACTGCTTGGCATCGGTGGACAGTCGGGTGAGTATTCGTCAGGAATAGAAACATAAACAGCACCCCTCGTACTTAATTGCTCGCTCTTTTTAGAGTCTTTGGAGCGTCTAAGGTGCCGCATAGATCATCTGATACGTGATCTGATCGAGGAGGATGCCCGTAACATTCAGTTGGTGGTGCACATGGATGATCTGGGCCAGCGGGCGCGTCTCCTAAAGCAGCACTTCACCAAGATACCGAGCAGTCAGCAGGCCAAGGAGCTGATTGAGCGCACGTTGCAGCATCGCCAGGCGGCGGCTGCCATTCCGCCGGCGCTACGCAGTCAGTTGGAGCATACGCTGTCGGACATTACGATATATGCGCGCGTGTCGGCTCTGCTGCAATTCGAGAGCTGGCCACAGGCCTACGATTTTGGACGCCAGACGCCGAACGTGATCTTTGAGCAGCTGCTGCAGCGACGCCGCTACGGACTGTGTCTGGAGTGGTGCCGCGTGGTGTTCCAAACGGGCTCCGAGGGTCAGCAGCGGGTGTGTCTGTTGACACTCTTGGATGCGCTGCTCGAGCTGAGGGATGGCGAGGAGCTGGACGGGTCATTGCTGGGCATCGTCGAGATGTTTCCGCCCCTGACGCTGGTCAATTTCCTGGACACGCACAAGGACAAATTCCGTTCGCTGTCGCTGCTCCAATGGGTCATCGACTATCTGGAGCTGCATGCACGCGATCCGCGTCCCTACCGCAACTATCAGCTGTCCCTGGTGCTGCTCGGACAGATGGACGGGGCCGAGCGTCAGCAGTTTTGGCGTCTGCTAAGGCATCCGCTGCTGATCGTCGAGCAGCTGGTTATGAATGCACGCTTTGAGTGGCTGGCAAAGCTGCTGGACGCAGCGCGGGCCCGACTGCAGCGTGAGAAGCCCTTGGGGCCGTGTCCCTACTGCTTCGAGAAGCGTGGACATGCCTACGATGTGCACTCGACAGCCACACAGCCGGGAAAGCTGCGCTTTCAGTTGGGCCAGGCCACATCCGAGGCGTTTATTCTGCTCAACTTTAACTCGTATCAGCAGGATCATTTTGTGGGCCAGGAGTGCTTGGATCTGCTGCTGAGGATCTATGCCAGCAAAGCGTTGGACTACCGATCAGTGCCCTCCGCCGCCGCCGCCTCCGCCACCGAACCGAGCTCCCTGGGCACGGATCTGCAGCGCTCGCTGGACTCGCTTTGTGGCGTCTTTGTGATGCCCAAGGAGGCGCCCAGCCGCGAACAGTGGACGCCCGATGAGGCGGCCAAACATTGCATGTGCTGCCGCCGGGCAGCCTTTACCATGCTGATGCGACGCCATCACTGCCGTCGTTGTGGCAGAGTCGTCTGCTACGCCTGCTCCACACACCGCATGCTCATCCCCGAGCTCTACGACCGGCTGGAGGTGCGCATCTGCAACGATTGTGCGAGTGCGCTCAGTGCCACAGCCACAGGAGCCGCAGATTCAAGCACATCGCGGGAGCACAGCACTGTGTCGGGCTCCCCATCGCTTGTGGACTCGTGCAAGTGGCGCCTCAGCGGCAACATCACACACGACAAGCTGCTGCGCGAAGAGTTCTCGTACGAGCATGCGCCCAGCGTGGCCATGAGTCTGTCCATACTGAGGCACCATCAGGATCAGCGGACATGCGTTGAGTTGCTGCTCTACCACTGCCGGAAGCTGGAGAAGCTGATTGTGCCCAATCCAGAGGTGGATTACGGACTGGTCGCCAAGATGATCAATTGTCTGGCATTTGCGGCCAAGGTTTGTTTTCGAGACTTTTCTGCCGTTTTATGGCCTACCGACTGTATCTCTTGCCACGTTGCAGGTTCGTGGCGCCACGGGAGAGTTTGAGAATATACGCGAGCATTCGGAAATCGTGATGGCTGTGGTGCAGCAGGGCTGTGAGTCGCTCGTACCCGTGGGACCGCTCGATAGTCACAATTCACGGCAGCTGGCCGATGCCTTGGTCGAGGCCGAGCACTGGACCTTGGCCCTCGAAGTGCACCTCAAGTTCGGCTTTGCCACCACGGGCGTGATGGCAGCCCATGGACTGGCTTGTCTGCGTGCCGGCTGCTATGATGCGGCACGTGAGAAGTTTGGCCATTGCATGACCCGTCTGTCCAATGAGCAGCTCAATAGCTGCATCTACAAGAACATTTTTGGCGTGGGAACGGCAGCGCAAACGGAGGCCGTGCTGCTGCCCAGAAAGCGACCGCAACGGGGACCTGCGCTGCTGCAGGAGATACTCCAGTTGATTGAGGCCATGCCTCAGATTCAGCCCCAGCCGGAGACCCTGCATCGTGCCTCGCTTATACGCAACTCAAACACATCGCTGGCCTCGCTCTTCACGCGACGCCGTGAGCCCTACATCCAGCAACGGCCGTTGCAAGAGCCCGCCCTGAATGTGATGAATGCCTTTGGCCAATCTGAAGAACATTGCCAAGGGCCAATACGGGGGCCAGGGCCATGCGACGGTCAGCGAGGAGAGTCGCCGCCAGGGACGTGGCTTCGAGGAATCGCTTCACTACGTCCTCACCTACGGCAGTCAAGGGGACATTCTGTCGTTCCTCATGCAGCGCGAAGAGCTGCGCGCCGCGCTCCGCTACTGGCAGCAGCAGCAACTGGACACGGATCTGTTCATACAGCACATCTTTCAGCCACAATTGACCACGGGCCAATTGCCTGTCTTGGTGGAGGAGTTGCAGCAATTAGACGATGCACAGCTGGGCGCCTGGCGGCTGCCACTGCTCCAGACCTGTCGCCATCTGGAGCAACAGCAGCAACTGAATTCACTGTACCAGTTGCAGCTGCTGCTCAAGGATCCCATACGGGCGAGCATGACCTGCGTGAAGTTCTATGCGCTGCATTGCGAGAACTTCCAGAAGTTACAGGCCAATGCCCAGCACTTGCTGGCGGCACACATGCATCTGCAGGGGGAACTGGATCTGGCCGAGTGGGAGCATCTGCAGCGACAGCAGCAGGGACGGCGCGTGAGCGTGGTGAGTGCCCAGGGGAGTAGCGGCAGTAGCCATGGCGCCTGCTTTGCCATGCAAATGGATGCACGTGCCCTCAACGGACACATCAACACCATACGGCGGCAGATGGAGGTGGCCAAATTCTTGTCGCAGTGCGAGAGGGAACAGCCGGCCGATGTGCAGCCCCTCAGGACGCTGAAAATACTGAAACAGGTAAGAGAATCTGCCTTGAGGGTGGCTCCTTTCTGACTTACTTTCACGGCAGATCCGACTCGAGTCCAGTCGTGGCACGTTGCCCACTTTGTTCGAGGGTGTGGCAGACAGAATTCAGCTGTGCATTTTGGTCCTTCTATGCGGCAAGAACATCGATGAGGGTTTTGGCCTGGTCTACGGGTAGGTGCATGGCCCAAGCATCTAAATGACGCATAAATCAAATCAAATCAAATGAAATCTTCCCTTTCAGCATCATACAGGACTACAAGCTGTCAGCCGTGAAGGTGTTTGGCGGCACAGCCAAGTATTTGGCCCGAAATCAACGCCTCTCGGAGGTGGATCGTCTGCTGGACTGCATTGGCAGCAACAATGGCGGTGCCGTCACCTCGGAATCCGATGAGATACTCTCCATAGCCATCAATGCGGCCGTGCATAGCAATTTGCCCGAGACAAAGCAGACCCTGGACCGGCTGATAAAGCGCATCTCAAACGTGGAGCTGCGCATCTCCTCCTACATGTATATTGGCCAGCTAAAGTCCGCCTATTTGCTGGCCAACAAGTACGAACGGCTGACGGATATACGCAAAATTCTCAGGCAAGCCGAGCTGACCAATCAGATACACATCAAAAAGCTATGCGAAATGAAGTTGCAATTAAATCAAGCGACAAATGCAACAACAGCAGCAACAGCAGCCTCAGCGTCAATGCCTCTGTGATAAAGTGATAAGAACCCGCCCCCCAATTCAGGCAATATCAATTATATTATACATCATTAGTACCGTACCTCTTTTTTGGGGCCAGAATAGATTATTTTTAGTAGCTAACATTTATCGTAGATCAATTTTAATATTTCCAAAGCCCCAAAGCAAGTATTCTCTCATCAAAACCACAGCTCAAAGACTTCTTCCTTAAGTAACCAAATTATATTATTGTTTGTATTTTATTGTATATTTATCTCAATGTTATCCAAGTTTACTTTTTTATTACATCATGTTATATATATTCCCAGAAATCACCGACACGTTGCAAACATTTTTCACACTTGATGCCAGAGATTTCGAGCCTCAGTTTTTAGCTGCTAACAGTTAGCTTCTTCAGCAGCTCCTGGGTGAACAAATCGAGTGCCTGTACTTTTGTGGTAATTGCCATCAAAGTCCTTGAGCTTCTGGTGGAGGCAGCAGTCCAAAAAGGGGGCGCACGAACTTTACATTGTTGTTGTGGCGCTTATAGCACTTTGCTTTATTCATATCATCGATGCCATTGACCAGCAGACTTGCAGCGCTTTAAACTTCGCTTGCATTTTAGAAAACTTAATAAATTTGTTGACTTAATTATAGGGTGGGGTGGCAAAGTATTTTACATGGTGCAAATGAAATGATCCGCATCTATGCTCGAGTAAATATGGCCCTCCGAAATCATAAAGTCCAAAATGTTGCTGAAAACAAAACAAAAACCACTTAGAAAAGAACTCAAAGGCAAGTCGCAGGAAAATATTTGCTTACTTCAATTCGGAATCACTGATGTGCGAAAACTTGGACTTTAGCTCCTTGCGATTGATTCCCTCCTCGGACATGTTGCTCTTGATCGCCTGGAACACCGCCTGCTGCTTGGAGTCCAGCCCACTCACAATAGCCGTGCTCTGAGAGGCTGTGAAATCATGACTCTGTGTGGCCATGGCACCCGAACCCGCCGAATCGCCCTTGTTCTGGTAATCCTCAGCCTTGTAGCGCGCATTGAGAGCCTCCAGTAGATGGGTGCACACCTCATTGGGATCCAGGACGGGCAGCAGCTTGAACACCATCAGCGTTTTCTGGCCCGCCTGCGAGCGTGTGGTGCCATAGACCTTCACGTAATTGTTCAGCATCACTTCAGGGGCTTTGAGTGCGTCACCCTCCTCCAGCCAGTAGTGGGCATCGATGCGACCGCTGTGATCCTCCAGCGTATAGGTTATCTTGGTGGAGGAGGTCTCCACATTCCGTACGATTGCCACCACACACGCCATGCCGTATTGCATGCCGAACATCTCAATATTGCCCTCGGGCGCATCTACAATCTGCTTAATCACCAACGGCACAATTCCCTACGCGATTTAAGCCACATTAATAAGCAAATTCAAGTTAATTGTGTGCTAAAATAATCACCTCTCCTTTTTTCTCGCTGGCGGCGCCCGATGGTGCCGTCTGTGTGGCATTGAAATCACCAACTAAAATACGAAATACACCTTTGGATGTTTAATTACCTTGATGGACGGGCTTTAACTCACATGAATTATTCATTTTAATCTGGTTTTATGCTTTTCTAAATGTTTTTAGCAATAATTTCACAAGAGTTCTCCCCTGTAAACAACAAAAGGCGCCAAATGCAACAGTGTGAACGTATGTGGAGATTTGAGAAATGCTGCTTTGGTTTAATACTAGATTTTTAATACTTTTAATTATTTGCATTTAATTTTTGAAATGCTTTGCTTTTGTGGAAACATTAAATTGGCATTGTAGTTGTGGACTTGAAGTCTTCTTCCTACCTATCACCTTTCTTTGTGGGAGTGGCCCCCACTTTGGCTGCTGGACAAATATCTTTGTTCAAGCATTGCCCACAATTTGGCTTCAGTGGTGTACAAATAGTTTGACCGAATCCCACAAACAAATGATTGACCTCCGCCCAGAGCGTCGAGGGTAGCCAGCTCTCCAGACCAACACGGGTCTGCTCCGGCTCCTTGGTGGGGCGTGGTAACCAGCCCAAGCGGTTGGATATGCGATGCACATGAACATCGACGCCAATTCCCGTCAGCTTGTCCCAGGCAACGGCCATGCAGATGTGGGCCATTTTGGGTCCTACGCCGGGCAGGGCTATCAGCTCCTTGACATTGTCCGGTATGTCCGCATCGTACTTGTCGATCAGTATCTGTGTGGTTTGTTTAAGGTACTTGGCTTTGTTCTGAAATGGTTTTGAGGGCGGTAAATCATATAGCTCTGCCACTGGACTATCGGAAACCTACCTTATAGAAGGACACGGGATGTAAAAGGGTCTCCAGCTCACCAACTGGCATGTCCTTCAAGCTGTCGGGTGTAAGTGTGCGCGCTTTGAGACGATTCATGGCCTCGTAGGTGGTTTGATCTTTCGTTTGACTGGAAAGCATCAGAGCCACCAATTTCTGGAATCGTTGTGTCTGTCAAGTAGAGTGGAGGATTTAGATGTGTTTATGCATCTACGTATGCTATACAGCCATACCTTCGCATCAGCACTTGTGTCGGCACATTGATGACAGCCCATTGAGTCCACAGGGGCGGCATTTAGACTCCGCATAGAACGAATATTCTCCAACTGACGATACCACAATGACTGGGGCGACACAACGTCTTGGTTTACCTTAGGATCAATTTCCATTTTTGTTTCTGGTTTACGTTCCTTCTGTATCTGTTCCTCTACTTTCTTTGGTTTTCTCGGTTCAACTTCTTTCTTAATCCTTGGCTTAGTTTCCTTCTTTATTGTAGCTTCGTTCAGTATGGAAGGCGCCTCCTGAGCACCAGAATCCAAGGAAATCTGTTGATTATCTGCAAGTGAACGCTTTTTCTTTTGGGGCACTCGAGAAGCAGCCAAAACCTCCTCCTTGGCTGCTGTTTTTCTAATGGCCTCGCCATTCAGCAAGCGCTGTTTTCGTGTTTGTATGGGCGAAAAATATAGTGGACCAGTGGACGGTGCTGCACCTCCTCCGACCAAATCCTCAATATCCTGTGAAGGATAAAATGCGTTTTGAGTTTGATTTCAATTCGAATTCTACGCACTTACCCGCACACTGTTAGTTTCCCTCTTCATTGTTGTAGTTGGCTGTATTACGGCACCCTGTTTAGCTAATTTGCCGGCCAATGTAAGTTTCTTCACATTTTTGGCCATATTCTTTGTTATTTGTGCGGTTTTTATGTGTATTAATAATTTTATTTATGTCCAATGAGTGAGATATGGCAGCGCAGCGGCAGAGGAACGGTAGAATCTCAATGTTTCGGTATTCGGTATGTTGCCCGGCTTTTCATGTTGTATTTTATGCAGTCCGGTCACACTCCTTGATTAAAACAATTAAATTTAATAATTTTAAAACAAAGTTTCATCGTTGTATTGACTCGCACGGAGCTGAGCTTATGTGGTGCGTCCAAGCTTGGTTCAGCAGTTCTAAGCGACCAGAAGATGTGCGAAAATGTATTTGAGAAAATTTCTAGAACCATGGTACTTACTTTGTGTGTTTTTGCAGCATATTTAATTGAAATAAATTATACTGTTGATACCTTTAAAGGATCCCAACGAGCCACGACGTGAGCGTAGATCCGCTGGCGATCCGCTGGCAGAAAAGATTCCTGTGGTAGATGCCATCAGCATGGGCGAAATAACCCTTGCGGTGACCAATTGGTGCATCAAGAATTGCCGCTCATTTGATATCTCTGCCGATGAAGGCCTACATGATCTTTTGCGTGTGTTTCTTAAAGCCTCGTCTCAATATGGTACAAACATTGACATAATGGACAGCCTGCCGCATCCGACAACAGTCGCCCGGGCCGCTTCGGAGTCGTTTGAGCAAGTGTTTTGCACAGTCAAAGGGGAATTGGCACAGATTAAAAGAACAGGGCTTCAGCATTACGTCTGATATATGGACGGACATGTTTTTAAAGCGGTCCTACATTAGTGTGAGTGTACACTATATTCATGAGCACAAACTATTCAATCGGCTGTTGGCCATGCGTTCGATGGATGAAGAGTCCTGTACAGGTATTGAACGAAATGAACATTTTAATGTATATTTTAATACGTTGTTGAACAACCACAGACCAACAAATTCAAAAGGAAGTGGAGGACTGCCTGCAGGACTTCAACTTGGACTTGGCTGGAGCTATCATTGTGACGGATCGTGAATCGGCAGTAAAGTCTGCCTTCAAACTTTATGATCACATTTATTGCATCAATCATTTATTAAATAGTGTTGTGGAAAAATCATTCAGAGATGTCCAGGAACTGGACGATATGAAGCAGCAAGCGACGAAACTCGTCAGGTATTTAAAAATCCTACTGGAAAACGTGAATCTAAAGTCAAGCCAACAAAGTGATTGTCCCACGCGTTGGAATAACATATTTTATACACTCAAGTCTATTGAAATGAACTGGCATCAAATTAATTTAATTTTGAGACAAAAAAATCAATTGCAACGCTTAAAAAACTTTGATTTCGCTGATCTCAGTTCTGTTGTCGAAGTACTGTCGCATTTTGAAGAGGCTTCGAAAGCCTTGCAGCGTGAGCATGAACCGACACTACATTGTGTAATTCCACAACTTGGGAGCCTCACAAAGGTATGCTGTGGCCAGGTATCAGGCAGTAGCATAGGACAAGCCCTTAGACGATCCTTACATAGCGGATTGAATTCAATAATATCGGAAAATATTACAAAATTCCATAGGCTAGCCCTTTTTTTATTTCCTCCAACCAATCTGTTGCTATTATTCAGCGATGATGAAAAAACACAAACCATAGACCATTGCAAAGAATTGATGAAGTTAATAATAGATAATAGCACTGAATACACCGTAAAAGATGACGATGATAATATATTCTCCGATTTTACCCTGAAATTCGACAACTCTGATGCAGGTGAAAAAATTGAAAGAGAAATTCGATTTTATATGGATTTTGGCACAAAGTTTAGTAAAAACTTTTGCGTCTTGGATTGGTGGAAAACGAATCAAATGCATTTTCCAATTATGTATAAATTGGCTTGCAAAATATTCTCGATTCCAGCTAGCAGCGTCGCTGCGGAGAGGGTGTTTTCAAAAGCCAGGAACTTGTTCTGCGAGCAAGGAAACTTAATTGACAACAATCCAAATATGTTCAACGAAATACTGTTTTTAAATGATAATTCCAAAACTTTGTAATACTTAGTATTTTAGCTATAACATCTACCCTAAGAAGCTAATACATATGTATGTTTATGTATTAACTTGTATACGGAAGGAAAGGAAGAAAAACAATTAAATTTAAATCATTTTAAACGTCAGCAGTTTCTGCAATTCTAAGCTTCTAATTTCAAAGTGGTCCGCCAAATCCGTTCCGCTTATCGCACGAAAGTACCGATATTTTTTTCAAATTTACCTGTGCATCGATAAGTAGAGTCAAAAGCGGCGATGAATTATGTACAGACGTGAAAAAGATAAGCAAGGTGCTCCAAATTAAAACATTCGTTCCTTGGATATCCATAAAAATATCCATACATATTCTTTAGCCAGTCCAAAATGAGATATCCAACAAATATATTATCAGCCAAAACCATATATATCGATATATTGATACATCCCATCCCTATACGGCGCACGTTTTGTTTTGTTTTGTTTCTTCAATTCTGGTGAAATACGTAATAAAAAGCCACGACAATGGCTGCCAAACCGTCCAGCAGTGAGCCCAGCATTGAGAACATTCAACTGGAGGCGCTTTCGCTGAGCGAGGGCATTCAGGACTCGCCCGTATGCATTATTGTTCTGGGCATGGCCGGCTCCGGCAAGACGACCTTCACGCGTAGCCTCATCCAGCACGCCCAGGAAAAGTTTAATCCGTATGTGGTCAATCTGGACCCCGCGTGCCGCGAAGTGCCGTATGCGACGCACATTGACATCCGGGACACAGTCAACTACAAGGAGGTGATGAAGCAATATCAACTGGGACCCAATGGCGGCATAGTGACGGCCCTAAACATGTTTACCACCAAGATGGCCAAGTTCGCAGAGCTGGTGCGCCGGGCCGGCCAGCGCGGCCACAAGTGGTGCATCATTGACACGCCGGGCCAGATTGAGGTCTTCACCTGGTCCGCCTCTGGCAACATCATCACCGAAGGCTTGGCTACCATGTTCCCCACCATCATTGTGTATGTTATGGATGTGGTGCGTTCGGCCTGTCCCACAACCTTCATGTCCAACATGCTCTACGCTTGCTCCATTCTGTACAAGACGCGGCTGCCCTTTCTCGTGGCCTTGAATAAGATTGACCTGAAGGACTGCAGCTTTGTGCAGGAATGGATGACGGACTTTGAGGTCTACCAGGATGCCCTCGAGCAGGAGCAGAGTTTCGTGAACAACCTCACACGCACCATGTCACTCACTCTGGACACCTTCTACGAGAACCTGGTCACCTGCGGTGTCTCGTCCAAGACGGGCGTCGGCTTTGCTCAGCTCCTGAAGCATGTCCTCGACTGTGTAAAGGAATACGAGAACGACTACAAGCCCGTATATGAGAAAATGCGGAAGGAGCGCCTTGCCGAGCAGCAAGCCATGCTCCAGCCAGCTTCGACTGTGGAGGATTCGGGTACTGCAGTACCCATGGGCCTGGACCTCAAGGATCCACCCCCATACTCTGGCAACAGCGTGTTCCTGATGGCCCCTGGCCTGGTGCCGCAGCAGTTGGATTCCGAGGAGTTGGAGGAAGATATGGAGATCGATGCCAAGGGCAGCACCGAGGAGCAGAACTTCCAGACATTCGTCCAGAGTCACCTCACGGCCCAGAAAAGCAAGCGCAACAAATTTGTTCAAGAGCAGCAAAAGCCTTAATGTGATGTGTAGATTTCAATAAAAATATTCTGTAGCACTTAACCATAACTTGTTGTCCCGAAGGAACCACAAACTGAAGCTGAGATCGTATATTTACGTCATTACGTCATCATCCGGTGTTTCTTGCGAGCCGTGCTCAAAAGTACCAAAGTTTGCCTTGGCTTCGACTGTCAAGTCATAAGAAATATAGAAGCACATATGTATACCAATTGCCACAAAAACCCCAGATCAACTAAATCGGCAAACTAGTAAGAGATATTTTACTTTTCTGTTTCCCTGAATATTTCCCATTTTCTAGATATTACAGAAAATCATAATGTTGTCCAGGAAGCTTTTGACTTTAGGGCTCCGCCAAGCTCATAAAAAAATCCAATTTTAAGGGTCCAATACTTCGAGCCCCGCGGGAACCCGAATACAACAACTCAATGGAGGTGCCTCAGGCGGAGAAAACTGCCTCAACTATGCAGCTGCCTGCCTATATAGATCCAAAATTCCTGCGGCCAGTGTCAGTTAATGAAGAGCAGCAGCAGGACGAGAAGCACAAAAGCTACGACTACAAATATCATTCATACTCTCTATACGATTTGAACGAGGCCACAACGCGTTTGGCTGCGGAACAGTCAAGGAAGAAAGCCAAAAATGAATAATTCTGTAAAGTTAAATTAAATTAAATTCTATATCTATATACACCAAAAAAAAAAAACACCGACTGTCTTTTAACTGTAGAAGTTCTTGGAGATCATTAGAGCGAAGCGAGTAGTTGTTTCTATACAATCTCGTTGCAGGTCACAGTGGCACTGAGTAACAAACAATCGGCAAGGTTTTCCGGCAGGCCAACCAAAGATATTACGTGAACGAAACGGTAGAGAGATTGGAACTGCTATGAAATATGTATCCTCAATGTGTCTGGCGTTAAATACCCCTACAATTGCAGAATTATATAGCTCGCAATTCTGGCATTAATTTGGATTAGTTTTGAGCTCAGACTTTAGTTGAATTGATCGAGTATTCTAACATAACATAAGCGTGGAAAACAACATGCAACATGCGTTCGCTTGTAAACTTTGGGATACAGGTACAGATTAAAATACACGGACGGACGGCAAGCATCCCTTGTATTCTGTATAGTTAAGTGACTCAACAAGGTAACCATAGGGAATCCATTCACAAATTAAATAGGTGCGCTCAAATATATTTTCCAAATTGTGAAATTGTGCACGTAAACATGTACAAGTTTGTCTCTCGCCCTCTGCTTTGTCGCCAGTTTAGCGGCAAGGTTAAGAAGTTGTCTAGCAAACTCTCAAATACCCAACGTCCGCCCAAGGATCCCCCAGATGAGGGCTACGAGCCGACGTGTATCGATCATGATGGTATTCAAGTGTCGGAATTTGTGAGACCATCAGCCTTTCGGCAGTTTAGTGGCCCTGATGAGAAGTTGGGACCAGGAGCTGGAAAAGGACTCGAATACAAGAATGCCCAATATTTTGGCTATCATCGATTCTCTTTTGTTGAGCTTCAGAGTCATGCCGTGGAGATGCGAGACGATCGTCGACTCAGTGGGGGCATACAAGATGCTATCGAAGCGGACGAGGAGGAGGAGTGCAACGACGCCAGTGTGAAGACCATGAAGGAAATGGAATCGGAATGCGACAAGATAATCGCTGTTCAGGCCAAGCAGCTGGAAGAGGCCGAACAGAAGGCTAAGCAACTGGAGGCTAAGAAACAGCAGGAACTCTGCGAAGCTCAAGAGAAGAAGAAACAGGAAGAGATGGAATGGTGCAAGAAGAAAGCGGAGGAAACAAAGGCGGTGAAAATCAACACATTGCTAGAGATGACAGATGAGCAGCTGAAAGAGTGGTGCGATAAGTCCCTCAAGGCACAGCTGGAGGAGAAGAATAAGTCAGAGGAGGAAGACAAATGTGACGCGGAGCAAAACAACAAGGAGGCGGAAAAATGCGAAGAAGAGTGCAAGAAAAAGGAAGACGAACTAAAGATGATCTGTGAGGCGGAGCAAAAGAAGAAAGAAGAGGAATTGAAGATGAAGTGTGAATCAGAAGAAAATAAGAAAGAAGAGGAACTAAGGATGAAATGTGAGGCGGAGCAAAAGAAGAAAGAAGAAGAAGAAATGAAGATGAAATGTGAGGCGGAGCAAAAGAAGAAAAAAGAGGAATTGAAAATGAAATGTGAGCAAAAGAAGAAAGAAGCAGAAGAGGAAACAAAATGTGGGATGGGGAATGATAAGAAACCCACCTCTGGAGCAGATGGAGATGGGAGCAACAATAAGAAATAAACAAAACAATTATTAAGAAAAAATACTTTATAAATTAATTGGCAGCCAAAAGTATGTCAAAGTTTTTAAATAAAATTACGGAACTACCGCTAACACCACGAGGGCGCCACTGCCACGTCGAGCTTATTTTGTACTTCTCTTGAATCAATAATATACTTTTCAAAATGACCGCCAAACTCCATTTTATTTGGCTATGGCGATGAATATCGCCCATCTCTAGTACGGATGAGAAATTGCGTAGAATACGGTCACACTGCGGAGCGTTGCTCGTCGTACAAACTTGCTCAAAAAGTTCATTTGAGAACTGAACAATTGCAGAGTTCCATAAACAGGCGCAGCGGGATTTTCAAATATGGCGCCACTGAGCAATCTAATCTTCTCAAAAAGAATTTTTTATTTGGGGTATTTTTTCGTTTAATTTCCATACAATTTGTTTTTCGTGAATTTAAAAAAAAAAAATATTAATTAATTGGATGATTATTTTATATATTTAGCAAAGATAATAAGGCATTTATAATTATACAGTTAAATGAAGCTGTTAAAAGATGTTAGCGAGTAATTTCTGCGAATTTTGGCGAGTTTAACAACAATATAATGGCAACAATACGGGTGACGTTGTATAATTGGTCATCTTTTAGCTCTGCCCATAATTTCGTTCATTGGAGAAGTACTTCTCCACCATCTTCCGGGTGGCCTCCACCTCATTCCTATTTCCATCGTCGGTCGGCGTCCCTGAGAATACTTCCGCCCAATTAAGGCCAGTATATTGTTGCTCGTATAACTTCTGTACCGTTGCATCGGTGTTCAGGTGTAATGCTGCAACATTACGCTGGTGGGAGATATCCCAAATTACTGGGCTCTCCTGTGCAGCCGACTTTAGGGCATCCAATGAAAAGGAGTTCTGAAAACAACCCAATCTAGCACTAAATTTAATAAGGAATCGGATAAAATTATTTGTTTGGGCCAACTATCTAGTAATATTAAACTGAATATCCAAATTATGGAATACGACTTCAATCAATAAAATCCAAAAAAGTCAAGAAAGAGGGAGAGAGAGAGAGAGAGCGCGAAACTGTACTGACTGTTTCCTATATGTATAACTTTTAGATATTATTTAATCAGTTTTATTTAGCTTGTGCTTTCCTCTGAATGAGTGTAAACAACTTTAATAAATTCTTTTAATAATAATCTTGTAATAGACGACTCACTCATTGATCTGACTGAGAGATAGATTTATGATCAATTTTAGTAAAATATTTAGTTTTGTCTCTCATACGATTCAGCATGTGGAGATGTTCCCAATTAGCCTTCCATTATACCTATAGCAATGGCCAGGGACGCTGTTCTCATAGGTTTGGCCGTAATAAACCCAAGGAAGAGCTCTTTTCAAATGCTGCAGACGGGAAATAAACCAAAGGCAAGCCTCTGGCAACCGCCAAAAGCTGTTGGGCATCTCGTTTTGCAGGCATTTAAGCTGAAAATTGCTGCTAAAATATTTGCACAGTCCACAGAACCAAGCCATACCATATATCCATTGGAGCGATGAAGCTGCAAGAGTATCTTCACCTGTGGCTCCTTTCTTCGGTTTTTTCTTTGTGGCAGGTATTCTTTTCCAGCTGCATTGATGCGTCGCCAAATGTTTACCCTAAGCCCATAGCTGTTGTACGCTCTCTCGTTGTTGCACTTAGCTATGCAATTTTCTGAGCCACCGCCTGTGGAGTGATCCCCCTCTCCCTCTCTCTGTCAAGCTCTGACTCTGGCTGTGCTCTCTCTATCTGTTTGCCATACAAAATGCATCTAATTTTGGGCCTAACGACAACTTGTCGCTTGTCATGGTCTACGTTTTGCTGTTGCATTCGTTGCTGCTGTTGTTGCTGTTGCTGCTGCTGTTGCTGGTGGCATGCCTCATCATCATTTGCAACTGCTGGCGGCAACAGCTGCCTCACTTGGGGTTCAACTGTGCTTTATCTGGGCAACTTTTAGCTGCGCCTCGTAATCGCAGCTCATAGATCAAAAACCGCCAGAGAACAGAGAGCAAGATGTGTGGCTGTGGCTGTGGCTGCATCTCTCTTTTCCTTATGTGAACCAGGTCCAGTTCCCATCAGGCAGTCAAGAGGCTGGCCCCGGGGGGAGGCTTGATCACATTCCAACGCACAGCTGCTGTCGTTCCAGCCAATGCTGCTTGCCCACCCACGCCAATGCAAGAAAAAAATAAAACTGATTTTGTGCCACGTTTTCCCACTGACCAAATGACAGGATCTCGGCCATTCCCACAGTCCAAGACCAAGAAACATTTTCCAGCCAATTCCGGCAAATGCAAATTAGCCATCTCATTTTCGCTCTGATTAAAGGTAATTTTCAAATTTCCCAAACAACCCTGCGACACCGGGCACCGGGCACCGGGCACCGAACGGAACGGAACGAAACGGAACGGACCAACAACAGCAGGCGGCAACTTTGGGCACTGCAATTTCGATCTCGCCTGTCGTCCATTTAATGATTTCAAATCGGAGCAGCAGGCCCAGGCAAATAGCCACAGCAGAAACATGTTGGATGCCATGGCATGCCTGTTGGATGTTGTCTCTGGTGGTGGTGCACCATGTTGCACCATGGACCGGACCATGTCTGGGGCCCCCCCTTTCTGTGTGTGTCTCTCTCTCTCTCTGTGGTTCCAGCTGTGGCTGCGGAAAATAAGAAAATTGCCGAAACTAAAACCAGAACGCGTGCGCATTGAATTATGCAAAAATTTTAACCATTTGCCGCCAATCAATTTGTATTGCTGCACATCTGTGGGATTTGGCTTCGACAAACCAGCATACATATGAACATGCCTAATACATATTGGAACAATGGATGTTGGGGCTTAAATATGCCCATTACATTTGGCTGTTTTGTATGGGTAAGTTACATGCAAAAATTCAAATTTAGAATTGGCAATTAAGGTAATCAACCCATAAATCTATCTAGCAAATATTATAAACTTGTATGGCAAAAGCTTTTATTAAAAAAGGGAATTAAATGAACTTTCCTCCAAATGAGGGGCAAAACAAATATCTGCGTATGTAGTAGTATTTTATTCTTCTTTTAGAAACAGCTAATTTAATATTTATTCGAATTAAATAATCTTGAAATTAGGTTTAGAATTATTTGGCTTACATAAAGTGTGAACCGAAAGGGTTCTATGCAATTAAAGCTTACATATGTATAAATACATATGTAAAATGATGCCAAAGTTTAGAGAATATATAAAATTTCCGTGGTTCCAAATACACAATGTAAATCGGTTAGTTTTTACATCCTAAGCATATTTCAAATTTAGTTTTGATAGAAAACTAAAGCCATTTTTACAACGAGTTCTTCGTAGGAATTTACAAGTTCCAACCTTCCATTTTAGGTTTAAGTGAATAATTGCTTCCACATCTCGATCCGATCTCTCTCTCTCTCTCTCTCCCCTGTACTTCTCAGTATTCTCTCTCAGCCATAGATCAAAAGAAACCGAATCGACTTGCCTTTCCTTCCCCTACCCTTAATTAAGTGCACAATTTCAATTGTAACTCGAGTACAGACTTATCAGCGCCAAAGGTGTCTCATAAATACATATACATATGTATGTATGTAATATGTGTTGTGCCGCCGCCAAACAGGAAGCATCATCATTATCTGCCCCCATCCAGACACGGCTGTCCGGAGCAGTCGGGCGGAACTTGTCCAGAAGGGTACCCGTACTCGTACCAAAAACAAAAAACAAAAAATGTTGTGCAGGAATTCTTTATTTGATTCTTGCTTTGGCCGAGTGCAAAATTTTAAGCAAAACTACAAAATTTATGCATGACAAAACCATTGAAGCAGGCAAAAGGTAAAAATGTGGGGGGAATTCCCCCTTGGCTAGGGGAACTCTCTCACACTTGCAGGGCCCAGGCGGCGGCCCCAGTCCAGGCCATTGTAATGTGTTGTAATTTGTTGCTGTAGTCGTTGTTAGTGCTTCCTCTTTGGCATACTTAGTGCTAAAGGAAAATACAAAAAAAAAAAGAAGTTAATTATCTTTTTTACCTCTCACTCTCTCGGCTCTGGGGTCTTCGTCGCCCTCCGACTCTCTCTCTCTCTTGCCATGGATGGCATGCCCAACAGCTCCATTGGGTTATTATCCATGGGTTTTGTGCTATTCTCCGGTAGATTGGTACTTTGTTCGTTTCTTCTCAGTGCCTGACTTTTTTTCTCCTCTCTACTCTGCTGGCTCCATCCGCTGGTCTGGAACAGTGGAACGACGGCTGGTTCATTGAACTGTTAATTGTGGGCACAAAAACTAAAAGTACAGAACACAACAGCAAAGAATCGAGAACTCTAGGCGGTGTGAAAGGTGATTTTTCAAGGCTGCCACCATGTCCGGTACCCAGTACGGGTACCCGTGCCCCCATCAGGTTCCCAGACCGGACCACTCCACTCCTCTCACTTCTTTTAATGCTGTAAAACTTCCATATTTTTGTCTGCCTCTTTTTTCTTCTATCGATTATTTTTGAAAGTTTTTCTCTCTCTCTTGCATACATTCGAAAATTTATGAATTAGATGGTTTGATGTGAAGGTGCTAATGACTCCGCTATGATAATTAATTTCCCAAGCACACACACACACACAGCACAAAAAATACACTAAAATTTCACTTTTGAGTAACCGATTTAATGCAGTTCACACATTAACACAATTATCAACGGGCTTGGGTTGAGATTGATTGAGATGAGTCCCGCACCATAGATGCCACTAAGAGATCACGGGTTGTATAGAAAAACCCCGTGAATTCTTCCAGTGCCATTAACTGTGCCGGGATGTGGATAGGATATACTTTATGAGCAATTCACTTCTTATTTCACTTTTGTTTATACTTTCAAAGTCACTTTAAGTTAGAGTAATTTACTAACCTGGGATCCTTAGAGTTTTCGCTTGTGTAAATATATTTGAAGTCTGTACCATATGAAAGGGTGGGAATTTCATTATCTTAAAAGTAGGAGTATAAACTTAAACTTGAAAAGAATCTTCGCCTATGTAAATTCTGTGCCTTCATTCTTTCACATTGTCTCAAGACTCCCACAAACCTCTGATCTAAAAACCAAGGCTTGAAAATCTTTCAAATACTATCCCACGTTTGGACCAGGCCCCGACCAGTTAGTTCACCTGCTTGGCGAACTTTTGATAAGATGGCTTTGATCTATCCCACGATTTAATCAAAAACGCAAATTTTTTGTTGTTTTCTCTTCCATCTCTTCTGCGGCTACTCGCGGAAGTTGCTTCTTCTGTGTAGATATAGTAGATACTGCTTGTTTTTTTGTTTTGTTTTTTTGTTTGCCTCTTGATTTCCATTCATTGGGGGCATGCGTGGGAAATCCATGTTGCATGTCTCTCTGTCTATGGGGCTACCAACTGCGGTTGGCCGCATAATTTGCTGTGAAAATCATTTTGCGGCTGCGTGTTGCATAAAATTACAATTGAAATTTTTTTCTCTATCCCCCCCGCCATCTTGGCTTGGCTCTATTTCTTCGTCATCTTTCTTGTTTGTGGCGGAGAGCAAGCCAATTAAAAAAATTATAATGGTGCATAAACTAATTAAGCAAAAGAAATATTAAGAGCATTTCCATGCTCCAGTGGACAAGTGGGAGAAACATTCAGTGGTCGGGGAAACAAAAGTTAGCTTCACGGATCACAACTACTGTCTATATTCCAAAGAATTTTATTTTCTTTGAATTAAGACCATTAATCGCGAATGGAAATGCTAAGCTTTGGTTCTCTGTCGTTGGAAATAGTTCATCCTGTTCACTGAATATCGTTTGATACCATTTCTTATAGGTTTAGATAATTGATTGAACGGGTTCCATCGCGATGAAGATCTTCTCCTAGACAGGAAATGGCTACAGTGGTGGGGGGCCCTAGGAATCCCAAATTGACTTGTCGTTGCCCAAACAAATTGTAACATCAAATTGCTTTGGACATCTCTGACCCCGGGGACCTCTGTAATGATCCGTAGATCTCTGGGAAAACGTCGCCAGTCACGAAGAAAGCTCGGGTTTCATACCCCAAATCGCTCTCTGGCTTCGTTTCATTTGGGTTTTTTGCTTTTCTATCCTCTAGTTTAGTTGTTGTTGTTTTAGGCCAATTTATGCAAATGCCAAATGCTGCTCCACTTGAGGTAATTGCCACTCGTTTTTTTTTCTCTTTCTGGTTTCGGTTTCTTTTTTTTTTGGTTTTTTTTTTAGTTTGCTTATCAGGCAACGGTAAATCAGTACGTCTCTGGCATAGACATGCCGAGCATGCGCCGTGAGGCGACAGCCATCAATCAAATTGAGAGGCCGGCAATCAAATGCGAACGCAGGAAAGAGACGCCACAACCCCGAACAGAAAACAGTTAAAAAATCAACAGCTGCCTGTAGTTGCTTGGGCAGGGCAGCTGGCAAGGGGGGGTTATTTTTTACTGTTAAGCTTCTCCAACAAGGAAATATAAAATATTTATTACAAATTTTTAGTTTTCCTGTGCTAATAAAATTAGCCAGAGCGTCAAAATGGACAGAGTCCCCCCCCTCAATACCACAGAAAATATCCTGTCTACATCCCTGTTCAGGTGTATATGTGGTCGCGTGTGTCTCCATGGCCGATCTCAAACATGATTTTTAACGACAAATTTACGCGCTTAATCTCTACAACAAAATATGCAAATGTAAGCGGGACGAGGCGAGGCGAGGCGGTTCGAGTAGGAGGATAAGCTAAGGGTATAACGAAAGGAAGAAGTGGCTGTTGCTGTTGTTTTTTTTAACGATTCACCATGTTCATTAGTGCCGACACTTGAGTACACTCACATACATGCATACGAAGAGCCAGAGCCCCTACGACCAGACAACAGACTCTTTAATGTTTAAGTGCGTTTCATTAATTGAAATGGTCAATTTGTAGTCGAAGATAAGAGAGGAAGTTGCTGGCAGAGTTGGCAGATGCTGTTCAGGCAGTGGCAGTGGCAGTCTGTCCATTCTCGGTGGTTGTGGCTGTTATTATGGGGCTGTGTTTGTTATTGCATTGATATTTCCACGTAGGAGAGTTGGGATCGGGTTGCCGTTGCCCTATTTGGTCAGATTGTAAGAGGAGTTTGATAGTTCTCTGGTTTGTGGCGCCAGCAGACTTCCTTCCATTCATCAGGCCAGGCCAGGCGGTGACAGCGGTATATCGAATGCATATTAATGGGAATTCCATCCAGAACGAAGTGGGAATACTCTCCACCTATGGAATGTTGATTGATGAATGTGTGCAAAAGAACATATAATTAAATATGAATTAAATTAACGGCAGTGTGGTATGTATGTATGTATTTAATTGTAGAGATTTTCACATTGCAAAGAAATTTTAAAACTATAATGTTGTGGACTTTACAGTCAAACTTCTCTAATTTTAATCAATTATAAGTATAATCGATACAGACAGACACATCCGCTACCAACTGTACAGAAAAGCTGAGTAAATTAGTTTTGAAAGAGCATGACACACATGGGACCCAAGCAACAACAACATGCACATACACAAGTCATGGTCATGGCGACAAAAAAAAAACACACACATTGCCCAACGGTAAGCGATCAACGGAAATCTCTCTCACTCTTCTCCACCCATCTCCCTCACACTACTTCGCTTCATATGGGTGAAGCGCTAACTGTTTATCTAGCGGATTGATTTAACTCTCTCCCGTCTCTTGATGTGTTCTCTTTCCGCTACAGCTCTTTGAGTACTGAGTAAACAAGGCAGAGGCAGTCGCCTCTCTTCAGCAGAAGCAGATGATTCAATGTGTGATATTTGATGGTGGATCGAGCGGTTGGTGATTATGAAATAAAATACAATTCAAATCACAATCGCCTATACATATAGGTTCGCTGCTGACTCGTTTAACTAGTACTTAATAACCTCTCGACTAATATTTTACTCTCGCTTATTTGTAGTCAAATGCTCTAAAAATCGAAACAACTACAATAAAATCTTTCATTTGCTTGTTATAATTCAGAGATGAAAATGCTGATTGGAATCGGTAAAAAAGATGATTGAGAAGGGGAGGAAATGGTGTCGGAGACGCCAACACAGGCCAGCGGGATAACGGTACATGAACGCACACTCAAACACTCAAACAAACACACACAGGCCGAAACAATTGCTGTTGTCCAGCTCGAGAGCTCGAATTCGAATTTCGAACTCAAACTTATTCAAGTGGAAACCAATTGGCATTTCAATCACGCATCAATCTGGCACGTTTTTATGATGCAGATCACAAGGCGAAGCGAAGCAGCACAGCAACAGGCACAAGCACAGGCAGCTACAACAATGTTGCTCATGATTATCAACATGATGATCATGTTGCTGTGGAATGAGGATGAGAATGACGAACTGGACACAGCACGAGGCAGCAGCACACAGACTGGACATGACTGGACTCCTCCCTTGCAGAGAGTAATGCCATTTTTAAAAGAATTTTGTAACGAAAGGAAGAAACCCACATGAAATATATGCTCAGATGTATTCCTGTAGAAGGTGATTTCCACAGCGAAACGATATATCCATGATGAAATATTATCAAAATCTGATCACTAAATCGTACAGCTGTCGGAAGATGAACAAATTCGAATCACTCCACTCTGGTGTCATGGTAATAATGATGGCAAGAGTATCCAAGCTTCGATTCGTGTGGCAAGTTGAAAAATGAAATTTTTATTGGTCGGTTAAGTTTTCGTTACATTTCGTGGTTTGTTATAAATTTCATTGATAATTGCCATATATTGATGGCATGATTATGTGCATGATTGTCTGATTGTTACTGTTACTGTTTGTATCTTCTGGTTTTGGTTTTGGTTTGGTTTTGGTTTCGGTTTTGGTTTCTACGTGCGTGGCATATGCACTGCAAAAATTTCTCATTTTCTGTGTTGATCTTTCCCCAAGCCCCGTTTCCCGTATACCAGCCCAGCTCCCCCTTTGATACGATCCATGGATCCTGCAAAATTGTTTTCAACGAAAATTGTTGCACGAACCCCCAAACGAGACACAGATGGCAATTGGCAGGGGGAAAAATATGTTTCAATATGAAGTGGGGAAATATTAAACGAGGATACAGTCATACATCTATACATGTCTGTTTAAGTGGAAGTCTTACGAGTATATAGGTCAGCAGCCCCCTTGATTGAGCTGCAGGGAAAAATTGAATTTTATCTCATGGCAATTTGAATTGTTGTAATGGTACGGATTCAATCAGGTCTCACGAGGTTTCCGTATCGAATTTTTGTACTGAACTTACAGCTTTGAATATTTTGAGCTATCATCATTCTTGTTGTTTAAAAAAAACTATACCAATACCGATTTACATATTTGATTATTCAGTTACACACAAGAAATATGTCCGCAAAATTTAACTTCACCTTTGAGTGAGTTTTTGGCCTTTTAGCTACCCCAATTCCTAGTTCCCATGCCTCTCCATTTCTTGTTAATCATTCTGTCCGTCCATCTGTGTTGTCCTCCCGTGTCTTTGGCTCATAAATTTAACCAGAAGAAAAAGCACACACTAAACAAACAAAAAAAGACTCACATAAGGTACAACTGTCAACGGACGATGTTTGGTTGCCGGCTTGGAAAGTTGAACCACACAAAACTGGCCACCAAAAATGGCTTAATAGTTAAATTTAATGTTTGGCCATAACTAAAAGCTCAGGCTCAAGACAAACTGCCGTTCAATATGCAAATGTGGCACAGACAGAAAGATACAGAGAGAGAGAGAGGCAGCAGGAGTACGAGTGGTAGGTAGCTGGAGCTACCAGTAGACAATTTACAATCCGAAATCTTATTTTTTTTTTTTCTCTTTTTTTCCTCGTTGTTGTTGTTGTTGTTGTTGTTGGTTAAACAAGTCTTGTCCCACTCTATTCTCTGAGGAGGTTCTTATCAGCTGCTCGAGCGGAGGCTATCAAAAATAATTGACAACTAAATGGACCATACAAAAGTCAATGGCGTGAAAAAGAGGCATTCAATGTGGCTGGGGAAATTGTCATTTGACAAAATCGTTAGCCCTGATAAGACAACTCAAGTTGGTTGTTTTTTGTTTTTTGTTTTTGGTTTTTTGTTTTTTTTGTGTGGGTCTCGTCTTCCACTACGCTTTGAGTGTGTGGGCTGTGGGCTGCCTGTTGTGTGTACTCGTACATAGTTCTCTCCCCTGATTTGGTCATGATGAGTGTTCGGTCTGGGGCTCGGGCTCGGGCTTGGGCTCGTAGCGACCCAAGTTCGTGGCCTGAGTCTTTTGTGTGTGTTTGGACGCATTTCGTGTGCTGTGTGCTGTGTAGATGGGGTCTCTCCATCATGATTCACTGACCAAGCTGGCAGATCTCGGTGGAGTCGGACTGAGCTGAGCGACTGGCACGACCACCGCAATTACATCCGGTAATTTAATGTAATTTTATATTTCATTTCAATCGCATGCGAGATAGCACAGCAGCAAACAGCAAACTGAAAACAAGTATGGAATGTTTTGCTCGATATAGCGACTATGGGATACCCATTACTACGACTGAATTAAGCTGCACAGTTCAGAGTATTTTATTTGGTAGTCGAAATGTGTTTTTTATCAGCTTTTTCCAGCTCTACGTCGGAAGCCAATGAATAAAGATTTAAATGTAGCTAAGGTTCCTGCCTTTCGTCACAAATACAATATACCTTTGTTCTCATCCACGATTACCGATTATAATACCCAGCTAAGCCAGCTTAATGTCTGTTCCCCCGTCTTAATCATAGCTGAGACTACGCTCAGATTTTGTCAACATTCACAACTAACGTGATGTCGCCCATTAACATTTAAATAATGGCCCAGACGTGCAGCATCTGTTGATAAGGCTCTCCTCTCTCTAGCCCAAGTCCGAGCTCGAACAGTCTCTCCACAGATGGTTGGCCACAAAGGCAATAAGTCTTCGAGGCGGCTTCTTTTGATAGCAAATGATTGATTACTTAATTTTCCTGTCAATCTTTTTGAGAAACTCTGAAATTTGTCAACAGCTCCAAACGAACCAAAATGTTTCCCTACCTTTCTCAAAATGTAGCTTTATTTTTTTTTTTCTAGTATGATTAATTGCCTTTTTTTTTGGTGTTGGGCAGACAATGGCCAGGAAAGTAGTTGGTGAGGCAGAAAAATATTTCATTAATTAGAATTTTGTTTTGTGAGACCATTAAACTGGCCTAGGAACAAAGTCAAGCCAAGCCAGGCCAGGCCAAGATTAATAAGCGGCAATTAACCAAAAGAGAAAAAAAATCAAACAAAACTCAAAGAAACTAAAAAAAAAAAAAAAAAAAGCAAAAAAAAAACTAAAACTGTTAGAAAGAGGCGTTGCTGAACGGTTTAAAAACGCATTTGGATATCTTTATGTTTCTCTCTTCCATTGTGTATTGCTGGTTTGGTTTGCTTTAATTATGCGTAGAGTTATTTCAGTGCTTCTTTCCCCGTTTTTTGATAAATTAGTTTGCTTCAGACCGATTTGAGGTCAGCTTGGGGTCGGGGTCGTTCGAGTCTTGTGGCCTGGCTCATTAAGCCACACAGACGACCCCTGGTGCCTCCTGCTACAACGTATCAACTTACCCGAACAGGAAGCATTCCGATGGTCAGCCTCAACTTGACGATCATTTCCAGTTCCTAGGTCTCCCATCACAGCCAATTGATTGACAAGACGAGATCAAATTGTAACCGAGTCCACACAGCATTTGTCTGCAAGCAAAAGCAAAGGAATGGGGGAATGGTAATTGACATAAGTATCAATGAATTCCAACGAGGGTTGGGTGGATACTTTAAGAATTAATAAATAATTTGTGGAGCAACGCTCAGCTTTAAGCTCAATGTAGGAAACCAATATCTGGGCCTATCTTAATCATGTAAGAAAGATTCTTGTTAGCTTTCCATCAGCCCTAAATGTTCCCTTGTTAAGCCTCTCGAACGACCCTCGTTATCCTGCTATCCGCTTACAACTTACAGCCAGCTCCTATAACAACAGGAAACGCGAGCAACAAAAACTTGCCTCTCAGTATGTAAGTTGCCACAGCATTTCATGCGGCCTTACCCCTTTTTATTTATTTTTTTTTTGCTCCAATCGGCGGTGCCAGTTGCGTAGTCCAAAAACTGTGGACGAGAGGGTTGGGACCCTGAACTTAGCATCCAGTTTGACTGGAACTGGAGGCAAGTTAATTGAATTAAGGCTGGCTGTCCGCGAAGCCCCCACTGGACTACGCTCCTGCGTTGATTTATGTGAACAGATCTGGTAGGGTGGCGGTGGTTGGGGCAGGGGCTGGGGCTGGCTGCTGCTGCTGCAATTGACAATTGCTCGACTCTCGGGTCGACTCTGATCGGTTGGTTGAGTCAATGGAATGCAGTTGGTCGGTCGGTCGGTCGGTCGGTGGTTGCAGCTGCACTGTGGGCAAACACAGAGCGGAGTTGTTGGCTGCCTCTGTGACTGCCTCTGCCACATGCCACAAATGAAATGCCTGGCATTTCGTCTAGGCCCAATCGTCGTGGAAAGTGGTACTACTCCAGTGTTAACCAGTGTTGAGTAAGTCACTTATTAAGTGTCATCTCCATGTCGCCAAAGGCGCCGCCTCGCGCCAAAATGCAAATGATAAACTGACAGCCTTATGACAGCATTAAGCAAATTGCTCGCCAGCCGCCCAGACGATAAGCAGACATCGAATGTGGAATGGTATGGGGATGCAGATGCAGTGGGGCATGGGGCAGTGGCAGTGGCAGGGGGGGGGGGGGGGGCTGTGGCAGGCGCACAAGTGGAGTTAACGATTGGCTTAATAAAATGAAATATTAAATGCGATTAAAAACGCAAAAGACGACGACGACGACAACGACAGCGGCAGCGGGAGCAGCAGCGAAGACGACAACGTGCAAGGCGACGATGCAATAAATATATTGGGGAACAGGGAACAGGGGAACAGGCCAAACAGCTACTGGACTTGTGTGTGGATTGGATGCTGCTGCTGCTGCTGCTACACACAACCAGACGCCAGTCGTATGTAGTTCCAGCTCCAGTTCGAGTTTGCCTGCCCCCCCCCCTCTCTCTCTCTCTCACTCGCCGAAAGACATGATAAAAATGTGAAATGCATGCGTTCATTAAATTAATGCGCATGGGGCAGGGGCAGGGGCAGGGCAGGGATGGAGGCAATCCATGGAGCCTGAGCAGATAATTAAATGCGTGTTTGTGGCATGGTCAGTGGGCAATGGGCAATGGGGCAAGGTGCTCGTAATGACATTAAATATGTTTAAACATGCATAAATAAAAGGAGGCCCCAGACCTCGAACCCGAACAACTTTACTTTAAGCTCCTGATGTTTTAATCAGAGCGATTCTTAGACTGCAGCAGGAGAGACTCCAAGCCGAGCCGAACAGCAAATGGAGGCCTAAGCTTGTTGCAACAACTGGTTGAATTAATGACGCAACACGAGCCGGGGCCAAACAGTTGCCGTTGCCGTTGCTGTTGCTGTTGCCTCTTCGAAGATTTACGACGATTCAAATTGGTTGGCGATAAATTGTAAAGTTAATCGCTTGTCAAAGTTTTCGCGGTCGCATTTACCTTGCCCACTTCTGCGCCCCCAGTAGCAGCTGCATCGCAATCCGCATTAGATAGCTCTGATAGCAGATAGCCAGTTAAAGATATAGCCAAGATTTATGCGTCACTGGACTATACTACATATAGGACTACAGGCATTCCACCTTCTATAATTTGTTTTGTTTTAGTTTTGCTTTTTAGGCTTTGAGCGATTTCAGTGGGATTTTATTGCTGACGTTATCAGTGGTGCTATAAGTCAGTGGAAAATCAAGTAAAATTGATGCATTAATTGTTGGATTGGGGATATACATACATACTTATATTTATGTATATATATGTTTCTTTTCGCTTTTACTACACTTTTAATTGCGTAATTTCTAGCTATTTTCGTTCTCTCTTTCTGCACAACCAAAAGATAACCTCAACTATCCCATTGGTAAATCCCAGCACTCCCCCACATGCACAGATCAAGCCCATACCCCTCCCCCACCCCCCTGGAATTGACTCATCTGTCCAGTAAAATTTATTGACTGATAAGACATGTGACTTGTGCAGCGCCAACTAACTACTGGCAGGGGGGAAGAGCCTCCGCTCTCCCAACTCTCCCGACACAACTTCCACTACATTCCTCTTATCGTTTTCGGAGTAATTACGGTTGTTGTTGACTGCTACTGCGAAGCTGTCGTCCGCGTACTTGTCTGTTCTTGTCCGTTCTTGTCTGTTGTCGCTGTGCCTGTGCCCGTGCCTGCGCCTGTTCCAGTTCCAATTGAATCAACGAGGCGAGACAACAATTGTCCATTTCATGAATTGAAAGCGCCGCGCAGCACCCCCGGACCAGCTACTTGCTAGCTGTTTGGGTTGTCCATTGTTTGGTTTTCCTTTCGGGGGGTGCAAGGCTGGAAAATGTCATTCAAGTTGCAAGTTGCCAGGCAAGTTGACAAATTTGTCAACTGATATGGGCCATGGAAGCGTACGCGCTGCCAGTGCCCCGATTCGAGGGGGCCACTGCAAACATGTCTAGATTTATGGGCTAAATTCTGAGTCGGATTGTTGTCTGCCTTGGTTTGCATATGCATGAAGAGCTCTCTGCTTGGGAGCGCTCTGCTTGGGAGCGCTCTGCTTGGGAGCGCTCTGCATGGGAGCTCTCCGCTTGGGAGCTCTCTGCTTGGGTAGGAGAATGTGCGTGAGACGTGTGCGAGTCACGGAGTGTGGGCTACGAACAGAAAATGCGTGAAATTGATTGATTTTATGGCAGTACAGTACAGTGCTAACCAAATTGACGTCAAGAATAAGCTGGGGGCTTTGAATCTCTTTTTATAGCACAATATTCATTCGCCTTTCATTTCCGTTTCCGCTCCGAGCAGCTCTGGCAGTTCCTATTCCATTTTACTTTTGATATCACGTGTCTAATGATCAGCTTCTGCCACTGCTACTTGTCTCTATACTATAGAGTCTATAGTAATTACACATATAATTACATACATATCTACCTACCCTCCGGAATGACTTCTTCGTGACTTTGCTTCCCATCACGCTTCCATCTCTAATGTCTTGCAATGCCTACTGTTGTGCCTCTGCTCCCTCTGCTCCCCTCTGCGCGGGCAACCTCATGTTTATTTGCGGTTTAAGTGTTATTTGCTGATTGTGGCCCATGTCTATGTGCCACGTCTCAGGTTCAGTTCACACGCTTTCACTGCCTGCATTCGAAGCGTCAATTTGAATTTGATGTCAGGCAACACTTTGATAGATAAGGCCACAAAGATTTACTAGCACACACACACACACACACACGCACGAGACTTGTCCAAAGAAAAGTCAAACCCTGCATAATTAGCAGGTCCACAAAACTGAAACTGGAACTGACAAACTGGTGTGGAGTGGCGTGGAGTGGCGTGGAGTGGAGTGGAGTTGATGGTGGTGGTTTATCCATGGGGGTACAACGTGGTTTATCTGGGGACCCGCGTGGCTTCTGTGAAACGGCTTCCACGTTTGATGGCAGCAGCGGCGGCGGCATGCCCAACAAATTGCCGCTAATGAGGCGCACCAATGTTGCCCCCGTTTAATTAAAACCATAAACAGCATTGGCATCGCCATCGGGCCGAGAGCTCTGCCGTTTGGCTTACCTTAGAGGTGCTCTCCTGCTCTCCTGCGCTGCTCTCTCTGCTCTGGTTCTCGTCAGCGGGGGGGCTTAGCCTCAGCCACAGTCTCAGGCTCAGCTTCTTGGCTCTGGTTACGGTTCCGCTGAAAGGACTCCTGGGAATTGTCATCGCCATCGCTATGCGCCTTTGATGATGTTGTTATGGAGTGCCAAGAATTTGACTGCAAAGGAAATGCATTTTTGTGTTTAGAAAAAGGGCGTGTGCAATTATAGTTACATGCGTAAGACGATTGCTTGATTAATTGGTGGGGATCAGCAAAGGAGCGTTAGGGTAGCTAAGAGAACAAATGGATTTTAGGGGAATAATTTCATGAGCTAGAAAAATTATTCCCCCGACTTTTGTGCTCTCGTATCGCTCGCTCTCTCCAATCCAGCTCAAACGGAATTCAATTCATTTCATTTTATAAATATATTATCAATCTCACATGCCATTCATTGAGATTGCCTGCCTACCACCCAAGCCCCAGACAAAACCCAGCTGCCTGCCCCCCAAAATCTAATCGACAGCAAAATTTTTGCGCTGAATTTTTCCACCGATAAATGTCATTCCCAGGCCAGAAATGCGAATGCCAATGGGCCCAGCATGGGCTTGTCAGCAGCTACAATGAATCGTAAATCAATGAACGTTGCTGGTACGCATACAATTCGCCCTCACTGTGCTAGTCGACTGCCTCATAAAACATTGAAAATTATGATTTAACGCAAATTTTTGTAATTAATCTTGACAAATAAAGCGGCCGGCGGGCAGTGGCGGGCAGTGGCGGCCAAGTGGCAAGTGGCATCTTCATCTTCAATGTTGCACGGCTTCTTTTGGTTGCGGCACGGGCATAAATCTTTTCTCCACTTCTAGTCGCGGAGGCTTGGGCTTGAGTCTGGGCTTGGGCTTGAGCTTGGGCCTCACCTGATCATCATCATCATCATTATCCTTCATTACGTTGGTTGGCCGAACCGGTTGGTGGTGGTGGAGTGGTGGAGGTTTCTTTTGGCTTTTTGCAAAAATATTTCATAATTGTGCCAAGCTATGCAGTTTTTTTTCCCTCTCCTCTCTCTCTCTCTCTCGTTTTTTGCTGCTTAAAATATGGCTTTTTAAGAGGCAGAGACAAACAGAGACAGAGAGAGAGAGATGGCGAGAGATAGAGAGTGACCTTTGTGGAGACTCAATCTTAATTATATGTTTTTGGCATGGGGCTCACGACAAGCCCGATGACGACCAGTAGCAATTATTACCTGCAACACTCAGCACTCATCATTCACACACACACACATACACACATCCAGCAACAGTAAGCGACAGAAGAGAGCTGAGCTGCCGAATGATATATGACCATATTGCGTATACGCCACCAGGGACAGCCAGAACAGCCAGAGACAGCCAGACACAGCCAGAGAGATAGACAGAGAGAGAGAGAGAGAACTAATTGCAGACAACCTGAAGCTGTCATTAAATCCAATGCAACATCATACTTAATCCCACCCCAAAAATACACTCACAACTGCCTACTCCCCACAGATTTGTGCCACATGGCTACGCTTTTCAGAGTGGCCGAGCAAAGATGGATCTGCCCAGTGTATCCAAAGCCACTGCTACCGAATCTAGCCTCTATTATTTTTTTTGTTTTTGTTATATTTCTCTCAAGTGTCTAATCTGATTTGTTGGATTTCAGCTTTTGTGCCTCTTCATTGCGCGGGCTACCATCTTTCGTGTACTACTCGTATAAAATATTTTTCCTCTTTTTTTTTTTTTATGATTTGTTGCCCGCTCGCACGATGCGTCAGTTATTTTTTTTGGGCTCGAGGTCTGCTCGATTTTTGGTTTGTGGGTCTGGTCCGTACTTTTCTTGTTTTGTCAGCAAAGTAAATATAAAGTGAAATAAAAAACGTGACTGTTACGAAAAAGTCGTGTATGTGATTTTTGTTTTGTCTGTTATTTCGTTTATTTTTTCAGATACGATACTCGTAGCTATTCTTTTTTTTCTGTTCGTTTTCGTTGTACTGTATACGTGTATTGTGCTTTACTGGTTTCAAGTAGTTGACAGTGAGAGCGAGTCAGAATCAGAATCAGTCGATCGACGCGCTACGCGCCACAATGTACTGCTATGGTAGTCATCCCAAAGCAAACCAAACAATGCGCACAATTTTCAATGCGTTGCCAAAGCGTGTTGGCCGGGGCCCATTGTCTGACGGGCTCTAATTTTATTTCCAGTATACATTTTGTTGCTGTTTTGAGCTGTGTATCGTGTCGAACATTTTTATTAATTACTAAGGCACACACACGAAATGCCAGCGTTTTTTTTTCCCGCTTCTTCATTAGCAGCTCAACAAAAGCTGATGAGCAGCTTAAAGGCCTACCCATCTCGGGGTATCTGTATATATCTTCTTAAAGATAGAACGATTCTCAGGCTTCATGATTTTCTGGCTAAAGCATTGGGCTATGGAACCTGTTCTGCAATCGTTGAACTTCACAAATCAATCGAAACGGAACTAGACAGCATTCACCAGCAGCATTCTATGAGTGGAGTCGTAAAGCATTCTGTGTAACTATTTGATGGCTTTAACAGACCAAACTAAGCCATATTTATTATCAAGATCTGCCGCGATCTGCCATTCTCTTCTCTGCCTCTCCTTTTGTTCGCTAAGCTGCCGCCACGCTCTCTGTACAATCTCTTTTGGTGGTTTTTGTTTTTTGTTTACAACCTTTACTTTAAGTTATAGATTTTGTTCGATTTTATTGGCTGATCTTTGATCTGCTCTGCTCTGCTCTGTTATCTTGGTATCTCCCTAAGGTGTGTTAACTTTTACACGGCGCATCTTTACGTGTTTCTCTTCTATAGAGATTTCTTTCTTAGTTTTCAGTGTCTTATTTTCAAACTTTAATCTTCATTTATTTTGCACATATAGGACTACCAACTCCGCTGCCATTACCCACCAATTTCTTTTCTAAATTCTTTCCACTATTTTACCAACGAAGAGAGGCAATCAAGAGGCTGAAGATCAGCTTCTGCTGTGCACAAGAAGAGCCTGGTTCTGGTCTGGTATGGGTCTGGCTCTGGGTCTAGCTCTGGGTCTGACTCTGGTTCTAGCGTCTGCGTCTGACTGTGCTCTTTTATAGTGTAGTGTAGTGTAGTGTAGTGGTTACCTCCTCCACACAGCGATCACAATGACGGTGTTCTTCGGCCCCTCGAAATATCGGGCCGCCCATGTCCATATTTAGACAGCGCACAACAACAACAACAACAACAGATCTCTATGGTCTGTGACTAGCCGGGATTGCGCGCGGTCGGTCTTGTTGCGTGGGTGCAGCCGCAGCAACCTCCGAGAGATATCAGAGCGCTCCTCGAACCAACCAAAAAAGACCAACAAAAGGCAACAAAAACGAACCAACAAAACACAGCAATTTATGTTCGTTTGCTTGGCTCGACTTGACTTTGCTTTTGGCCTGGGCTTTTAAAGGCAGGGTAAGCGTAGGGAGACCAGAGACTGACCAGATCGATCTCTACCTGTAGCTGTAGCTGTAGCCTGTACCCCTGCCCCTCACCCACTTCGTGTCTGGCTGTGGCAGTCGCTGTTTAATATTCGATAGTTAATCAATTAACTAACATAATTTCGTGCAAAACTAATTAACTACCCTCTGGTGCGGACAAATGTTCGCTGTCAAGAGCATTTAGTGTCATTCATTTTGCGTTCAGGCGCGGCGCCCACTTGGACACGGACATGGAGCCAGGGAAACTGGACAGAAAAAAAAAACTTGTTTGCTGCCTCCCCGAATGGCAGCCAGCCAGCCACCCAGCCACCCAATCTGCGGCTGGCCACTACTCATCCCAGACGAAGCTCTGGATTTTAATTTGTTTGAATTTAATAAGTTTTCTCGAGAAATGTAATAGGAAAATCGCCCGGCAACGCCGCTTTTAGGGCGAAATCAAAAATCAATACATAATTCTTTTGACATGCCAATCGCACATTTGTGGCATGCAACCAGCAAACAGCAACCAGCAAACAGCAAACAGCAACAACATGTTTGCTCGACTCATTGAGATAAAAACAAAAATGTGCAATGTGCCGAGAGATGCACCAGGGGAGACGACACACGGAGTGCGAGCGGCAGATGGAGGAGCTGCTGCCGCTGCTGCCGCTGCAGCGGAGGCATGCAACAAAACGACGACAAGGCAGACAACATAGGCAACCAACAGTTGCAACCGTTCAAGCTGCACCTTCAACATACACACACCCACACACACACACACACCAGTAGGAGGGGAGGATAAAAAAACAGGATGAAAAAAAAAGCAACAAAAAAACTGACATCCCAACTTTGAGGCCAAGGAAAAAGTGAAATCTGCTAGAATTGATCTTGTGGGGAGTCGAAGTCATCGTCGTCGTAGTCGTCGGTTGGTTGGGTTCGTCGGTTGTGGTCGAGACTCCAATGGGCACCCAAAAAACTGGTTTACACATCTGGCAAAGAAGTTAGCCCAACGGCAGAGCAGCTAACCCATGAACAGTGGTTCCAGATTTGGCTTTAAAATTGAAATAAAAATCATGCCACAAAATACAAAAAATTCCACATTTCTCGAGTGATATTTATGGGCATTTATCCATCAATATTAATGCGAAATAATTGCTCATTAAATATGGTAGGCATTATTGGGCAGATCTTTTCTCTAACTATTCCACTTTCACCTGCCCTTAGACCCACTGTGGCTGGAGGTTAACTCTGCTGGCCCGAGGTCTCAGTTGCAGTCTCTCAGCCAGAGCCTTTCATTCGCTGTCAGCATCAATTGAGCCAGCTCTACACCGCAAAAAAAAAAGGGGGGGCCCCGCTACACCCTCTCGCACACACACGCGTCGTACTCTGGCTGCTGGGAGCAGAGCATCTTCTTGGGTCTGCTGCTGCTCTGGCAAAAGCCATTCAGAGCCAAGATATATGAGCCAGTGCTATGTTGTGACTGCTGCCCGCTGTGCACCTGTGCCCCAAAAGCACAACTGCGATGAGGATGTGGATGTGGATGAGGATGTGTGCCTGGGATGAGCTCGAGCTCGAGCTGCCTCTCGTTTTCGTGAAGGTGAGGCTGAAGATGTTTGGCGTTTGGCGTTTGGCTTTGGGAGATGAGCAGGCGGAATGGACTTTTAAATGTTGCCATTTGTTGCGTGAAAACGCAACCGGTAGCCCAAAAACGTTCAGACATTGCCGATTGCCGGTTGAGGAGGGTTCCGGCGCAGGTTCAGGTTTAGTTAAAGGTTCAGGTTTTTTGGCTTGGCCTTTCAGCTATTAGGAAACGCTGATGCTCCATCTCCATTCTCATCCTCATCCTCGCGTCGCGTCGCGTCGCATGCCCAGCGGCGATCATTAACGCCAACGGTTTTTGCGGCGCTTTGAACAACATTTTACAACTTCTACCGAAAACAGAAGCAACAGCAGCAGCCAAAGCAATAGCAACATCGACAAAAAGGTCAGCTACCGTCAGCACAAACAAACATACGAGAGGTACTGCTCGTATAAAACACAAAAAAAAATAACATAAAATAAGTTAGAGACACAGGAACGGGCAGCAGGCAGCAGGCAGCACTGAGACAGAGAGAGACACTGTTCTGCTGTTCTTGGGGCCATTCCAGGAAACCCAACAACTTTTTTAGAAGTGCCCCCAAACAGAGACAAAACAGAACAAGTGACAAGCCAAGCCACCTGAATGGGAGGGGATGTGTGGCGAAAATCTTTGGCCAGTCAACCTAATAAAAATGTTTTGTGCCTGCTGGAACTGCCACTGGGGGGCAGGGGCTGGGGCTTAAGCGGAAGAGCGCTGGAGACGCCGATTTTGGTCAACTTCCCCAAAAAAAAAAAAGACAGTTTTGGAATTAGCTTGAAAATAATGATGTAAGCAAATCCGTTTGGCTCAAATGGGAATGGGAGGCTCCTCTGTTCCACTCACTCCAAGCGCGTTGGACCAGAGGCCATTTGTCAGCAGCGTTGGGGCAAACTGTCAGCTAACCGAACATGGAGCACGTCGTGGCGAGTGGCAGTGGCAGTGGCTGTGGTGCCTATCCTGCCTATCATCAGCCAGATATAAGTAGATTCTATGTCGGATTTGCGTGTGTTTAAGAGTCGCCTCTCCAAGTCGCTCGCTCGCTCGCTCGCTCGCTGTTGCATGCCGCTGATGTGGTGGCTGCTGCTGTTGTGTTGACCCGCTGGCAATTATCACCCGGAGCTGCGAGGCTGACAGGTGGCGGTATTCACACGGACCTCTACTCGAGTGTGCAGAGTGAACCCTGAGAGCCTCTCACACTCCACACTACCAACTTGACTGCAATTAGACATGCCAGAGAGGGAGAGAGAGAGAAGAAGTCGGGGTATATCCTTCCACGACTAGCTGAAGATCGCCTGAGCACTTAGGGGTCAACAGACCTCCGGCCAACTCTGTCGGGCCTGACTGCTGCCCCTGATGGATTGCCAGGGACTTGAGATATTCCACTCTCTTGGCTTGGCTTGGCTTGGCTTGGTATCTCTCCCCCGGTTGGTCTTGGGTCGGCTGCTGCTGCTGCTGCTGCTGCCTCTCCTCTCTGGTGGTTTGGCACATCACACAAATCACGCACTTTTTATTTGCCAGAGCGGATGAGGCGGCCTTTTAAGGCTGCATCATGAGTTTGCAAATTGTTGTTGCTGCTGCTGCTGCTGCTGCTGCCGGTTGGACTTGGTTTCCTGCTGCAACTTTATGGCAATGAGTATGGGGGCATGGGCATGTCGGTGCCACTGGCACTGGCAGTGGCAGTGGCAAAGGCAGTGCTGCTGCTGCTACTACTCGTACTCGTACTTGGCTCTCTCTCTCTCTCTCTCTGCTTTGATCGCTCTGGGTCATTTTCTGTGTAAGAGGATGGAAGTCAAGGCAAATGCAACATGAAACCTGTGAGCGCAAGGAGCAGAAGGTGTCCCAGCAAACAGCAAAAAAGCAAAAAACCAAAAGCAACAAATGGCATGCCAGGCCAAAAGATTATGGGAGTGAATCGAACGACTAAGGGGTACTCTAACAGTCCGATAAATTACTAGATTGCATAAGTTTAATGGAAGCAATTTCAGTCACTTTTAAAAGGAATTTTAAATATATTTCTGACTTGATTTGTTCAACTATTTCCACTATTTATAATATTTAAAATAAATAAATGAGAGCTGGGGAAACTCTTAAATTCTTCTTTAAAGATTGAGCAGCCTTAAAGGATTGCCTGCTGCAGCTGCAGAGATTTATATAATTTCCACTGGGGGGGTTACAATTCATTTGCTATCCCCATATACCCTACCCAGAGCGTTCGCTACCCTAACCGAAACCAGTTACTGCTCACTGCTTACTGCTTACTGCTCCTGTGGCATGCTGTAATTGATATTGCAACTGTATGCGTTGAGCGGATCGGAAAGAGAAGCAAACACTATGCCACAGAGAGCGAAAGAGAGAGAGAGAGAAAGAGATACATATAGATAGAAGGAGACGATCGTTTGTGGGTTCTTTCGACTCGTCTTTCGTTGCTCGTTGTTCGTCTTCGATCTGGCCCTGTTTCCTGATACTGGTACTGGCAGTGGTACTGGCACTGGCACTGGCACTGCCCTGGCTCACACGTGTTGCTAATGAGACATAACTCAAGCATCAAGATCAGCTTTAGCTTTGTGCCTGTAGTGGCTGTGCCTAGTGCCTGGCCCTGGTGTCTGTCTTGTGATAACCTAATAAAGTCATAGCAATTAAAGCTCTCTCAGAGCTATACTCATGTATATATGTACACAGAGCTCTGTACAACTTGTTTGGCAATATCTGTTCTGTTCTGTTCCGAGCTCGAAATAAAAGTTGCCCAAAAATAAAATGATGTCACTCGATGCCCCGAACTCGAACTCGGCTCGCAATTATAGCCAACACTCACTCCACACTCCACACTCCGCTCGGCGAGCACTGAGCTCACTGAGGCTGAGGCCTTTTATTATATCATTTTCTTGTTGTTGTTGTTGTTATTGTTGTTATAAACTTTACATTTTTTTGTACCTTTTTTTTGTAATAAAGTTCTTTTATTTTTGTGTCTCTGTGGGCCGTGTTACCTTTTCTGTGTGTGTGGGGGGCATTCATTTTTTGGAGGCTTTTTCGGAGATCTCGACTTGACTTCTCTTTTGGGTCTTTTGAAAAATCATTATTTTAATCGTTTATTGACTTGTTTAAAGCGCCGCTAAATGTTTTCCATGCCATTCGTCGCTATGGCTGGCTATGGCCACAAATTATGTGAAATGATTGGGCAGAAAATTGAGGGATTTGTTTCCCTGCCGCTCCATTTCTGGGGCTGCCTTTGCTTTGCGTTGCCAGCGTTTTGACAGCGGGAATTATGGCCTGAAAATTATTAGCGGTTTTGGGCTTTGTGTGAGATTGATCGTGTGAGAAGAAAGTAATGGGAGCTGGCTATAGGAGTGGGATTTTGGTTCTCAGAGAAGTTTCTAGAGGGAGGCCCTTTGGCTTTAAATTGTGGACATATTTTAGCGCTTAAATCAGTATTTTTTTGCTATTTTATCTGAAACTTTAGCCTTTAATTGAGGAACTTTTTCAGGCTGAACACTTCGTGGTTTTCCAATAGTCGTACAACTATCGAATTTTTCGCTTATTTCAAGCCCAGTCAACTTCCAGAAAACATGCTAATCAAAATGTATGCCTCTCACTTAAGCCTACCTCCATCGTACACGTACCCATTTCCTTTGTGAGAATTTCAAATCAATTCTCCATCTCACAGCTAAAGAAATCTCCTGCCAAGCATATCTAGGCCCTGCCTTGCGCTGCCGTTGCTGCTGCCAAGGTAAACTTTCGAAACCATTCATTCGAGCTGGTGCTATGAATGGAATCAACTGTGGCTAGATCAATTAGTTTTCAATTTTTCCCTCTCTTTTTTTTTTTTGTTGGGTCTGTAGCTAGGCCACAATCGATTTCAATAGATTTTCTTCGGCTACGGCCGAGATTCATTAGTTTTTCCAGCCCACTGCCGGCCGCCACGCTCTCGGTCGTCGGTGATTAATGATGTTGCACCCAATAATCATAAAACCAAACAAAAAAATATACAAAAAAACACCAAACTCTATATAAATGTTTTTTTTTTTAATGTTGAACTCACCTGCCCTTTTACAGGCCAAGGACATGAAAGCATCTCCAAGCCCGGTCGCGTCTCATCTCATCTCATCTCATCTCGTCTCGTCGCCATCGTTTCGGTTGGTTATTTTTTGTTTTTTTTGTCGACATTTTTATGATCATGGCATTTGGGTCTCTCGGTGAGGTGTACGAGGTATACTGCTCTATGGGTATACATATGTATATATGTATACTCGTATACACGCGCTTCTATTAGACCTTTTGACTGTTGGCCACGCTAATTTGTGTCTAGTCGCGTCTCGTCTCGTCTGTCTCTCTCTCTCTCTCTCAACTACTATATATATATATATGTATATATCTATGGATATCGTATCTCTCTCTTTCGCTGTATGGGGTGGGGGGCTTTTGTCTCCAGTTCAGTGTTTTTTTTTTTTTTTTTTTTAGCTTTTCAGCTATCTTACAGCTGGCACTTTTCGTTGAAATTTGCAAGTGCTTACTAATAGAACGTTTTGTGAGTTGTGTTAATGAATTCGAGAGTTTTATTGACACTTTGCCGCTAGGTTTAGTTTTGGTTTTTTGTCTTTGCATTTTTGCCAGTTATTTTTGTTCGTATTGGTATTGGTTGATATGTCTTTAGGGTTTATATTATATTATTTATACATATGTGTGCGCCACGTTTCATTTGCTTTCTAATATTCTTTTTGTTGTTGTTGTTCTATTGTATTATCAGTTTATCAAACACTTTGTTTTTGTTCATTTGGTATCTCTCTGCGATTGCTAGTTGTTTGTGCAAGGTGGTCGGTCTCTGGATGGGCGGTTCGGTTCGGTTCGGCTTCGGGGTTCGGGGTTCGGGCTCTGTGGTGCGCGCCTCTCTGCTCGTACGAAGCGAGCGCGCCGCTGGCTGACGGTGCACTGATCGGATCGTCACAAACGTGGCCAACACGACAGGTAAGCAACGTACACAAAAGCAGTCAACAGCAACAGCAACAGCAGTAGCAGTAGCAGTACCCAGTCGAAGTCCGACAAACTCTCAACTCTGTAGAGTTCTCTTCAGGGCAGTTTAAATATATATATATATATGTATATATATCTGTAGATATAGAGGTGTACTGTTGGGGTATAGGTTCCGCGTTTGGGTTTAGCTCGTTCGCCTTTGCGTTCCACTTTGCGACTTGCCAGCACTCGACGACGACACGGGGTTTTTGTAACCTCGCAGCCAGCGTGCGACTCTCCAAATGTGCACCGACACTCTGGTGGTCTCGCTCTGGCTGCTGCAACGCAGCCAAGCGTATTGGCACAGGTGTAATTACCTGTTAGGCTCCCAGCTGCAGCTATCTCTTTCGCCTGCCAGACAGACAGAGAGAGAGAGAGCGACAGAGAGAGAGAGAGCGAGGTAGATCTCTTGAGCGTGGCTCTCTTTAAGCTAAAGCCATCTCGCTTCCACAGCCAAAGAGAGCGACGCTCTTTGCTCATAATGATCATTACGGTTGGTTCATTTGTGACTCACTTGAAAGTTGGTCTTGTCTTGTGGAAGAAAAAAAAGCTACGCCACTCCGTACTGTTCTGTCCCATAGGAGTAGGTCTGTCTCTTCCGATTTTTTTCTGCAGAACTGCTGCCTGCTGCTGCTGCCTGTTGCTGCTGCCTGCTGCTGTCGTTGACATTTTCGTGGCAGAGGTGCCAGCGCTGGTCAACACTTCCGCTCTGCGATCATTTTTTTAATTTGTATGGGACATTACATTACCCAAACCGTTTAAAGCAATCTTCTTAACAGCTCCTATATAACCGATCTTTCGAACTCCTTATCATTATCATGGCGCGTAGCAGCTCCAACCGGAACTAGCTTGCCCATTGGGCGCATTCCTTGCCAGGCGCAGGGCCCCAATCGGATGTCCCAGCACGAGTCTAATAGGCCATAAATCGATTAAAGTCCATTATCATTATGCAGAAGGTTCCTCTCCACAGAGAATTGGTACCTTTTGATGGGTTCGAACTTCCGTCGGCTGCTTGGAGAATGTTTTCGCAACTGCTGCATTCATGTGGAAAGTTTTTAGCGCTACTGTTAGTTCTTGGGGTCGAAATGCTTTGATTTCGTTGGAAATAAACAAACCAAACAACAACCATAAACATGAAAAAAACGAGGCTGTGTTTTTGTGAACGAAGATGGGGATACGCTTGCCAAAAGGTAGATCTTTCATTGGAGTAATTCTATTTGATTCAGTTCAAGTGGAATCATGTAAAAGTATGTGAAGATCAGCGAATCATTTAACTGCAGAAAAACAGTTTTCCCAAGGGACTTGTGCTGCTACCTTATGTACTTATTTAAGGCATAATTTAGTCAAACTTTAACTGGGACTTTGATTCCAAACAAGAGCATATAGGGGGTACACTGTACAGTGAAACCGCCTTTAGGGTACAACTTCCTGAGGCCAACAACTTCCTGTGTGTGGAAACTCCCTCTCTTACTTCCAGTCACTGTAAGCTCTTCACGGGAGTTTCCTTTCTCTTAGCAGCCTGCTGAAACTTCAATTTCTGATTTATACACCGTACTTATTTCAGTATAAGCTTCTGTGCAGAATTATAATGCCCCCCGGCAAGGGTATCAAAATACAAAGAAATACAAAAAAATATACAAAAAAAAATAGAGAAAAACAAAAAAAGAAAAAACTCCATTTGTCGTTTTTCATGCTGCTTAACGGAAGCAGCCGCAACCGTTAGACGAAGCTGTTGCCAGCGATGCCAGCCAAATGCAATTAGTTGCAGCAACAAACTGCAGCTGCCACTGCCACTGCCACAAGCTGCAAGCTGCAAGCTGACGCTGAGGATGGGCTGTCTGCAGCACAGCTTCGGGTCTGGCTTTCCATTTGGCTAAGCAGCAGCCTAAATACGAGTATCGGTACAGGCGTTCTGCAAATGATCTCTGGCAAAATATAATAAAGGAAGTTGGCGAAAATACATTTATCCATCTAATGATGTGATCCCGATACGTCCTCTCTCTCTCTCTCTCTCTCTCTCTCTATCTATCTCTCAGGAAGATGTAGCATATGAAGAAGCGTTCGATTAAGTGCAGCTTAAATGTATATGGGCATTCGCTTGCTATCAAATTTTTAGCAAAAAAAAAAAGTAATTAGTAGCCAGTAAATTAGTAGATTTATTGTTTTAATTTCTCTGCCCAGGTTGAACGATTTTTAGGGGATTTTCTTTAGCTACAAAACTTAAACGTTTTCAATAAAAATGCTTCAAGTGTGATATAAAACCCAAACAAATTACTGTGTTTAAATAATGATTGCTTAAAACTAATGAGCCATTAACAAAACACATTTGAACATCTTTACCTAAACCAATAAGCTCAGCAAATTTATGTTGCTTAAGGCTGATTGGGTTCAAAAATAAGTTGGACTTGTGCAAATAAAATTGGTAAATAAATTGTTTAAAAAACTTGTTAACTTGTTAAAAAAATATATGTTGTATACATGTAAAATCAATAAACATTTAATTCAATTCATTCAGTGTTTTATTGTTAAAAAAAACAATCTAAAAATTGGGTTCCTAAAAATATATTAAATTAAAGAATTTAATTTTAACTGAAACCTGAACTTTGCAACTAAACTTTATCTAATTTCCCCAAATTAAAAACCAAAACGGAATGGACTCGCACATGAGCTGCTGTCGCCGCCATTCATTGTTCTAAAAAAATAAAATGAAAATATATTATAGAGACAGACAGAGCTACACATGATGAGCAAATGTAACTATCATTTCGGCCAGACAACAGACAACAACAGAAAACAGAAAACAGCTAACAGCTCGTTGAATGCCGCACAAAAGTCGAGTCGAACTATTCGCAGCTCATGTGTTTCAGTTCAGTTCAGTTTTATTATTTTATTTGTATTTCTCCTTTATTTTTCACATTGTCATCGAACCGTGACGAGGCGTTGTTGTTGCTGTTTCGATGTACCTGTACCTGCTATACATATATATGGGAATGGGTATGGGTATGGGTATACCTGAGTTCTAACCCCCGCAGAAGCTGATGATCTAAGTGTAGAACATGCGATAATGTTTATGGCTGTCGGTTCTGTTCTACACTCTCATAGGGGTGCAACACAGAACTCGATTCGACTATGAATACAATATATACATATGTGCATACGTATGTATGTCGGGGTATGTGGTGCGCCTGCATGAGATGGATGAACGAGGTTGTATCGAAACGGTAGCGGGTAGCCAGCCCCCCCCACCCGAAAAAAAGGGATAATTAATTATGCCGTGGGCTGCTGGTGACATTATTCTTTTCACCTTTCGATAAGGAAATGACGAGGCGCAAAACAAATTCAACAAAATGCTTCTGGCATGCATAGGAGGATGCCCCATAGGAGGAAACTAGAGCCGCCGCTCCCCCTACATCTCTCTCCCTGCGGAAGTTCTCTTTTGTGGAAAAGAACAAAATTTCCGCTTGTGAAATTTGTCGTTTTTTTCTGTCACCTCAGCAGCATATGATAGACTGACACCCAGTGCCAATGATATAGTTTTTCTATGAGGTGAGTCAGCTGAGCCAACGCCGAGCTGTTTCGGCTAATTGTGCAATTTTGTGATTTCGTTATTGCTTTTCTTTCTTTCTTTCTTTCTTTGTTTATTTTTTATTGCTGCTGCTTTGTTGCAATCATTGGCCAAGACATTTGGCCAAATTGCATTTGGAAAATGCACTGGAAAATGGAGGCTCTGTAAGTGTCTCGAAGCTTTCACCATATGGCGCTGGTGCTGGTTTGCTGTTTTTTGCTGGCTTGAACGAATTGAAATCCTGTAAGTGGTTCTCTCCCTCCCCTCCCCTCTCTCTCTCTGGCACTGCAATTAACAGTCTAATGAACTTTCACCAAACCGAACCCCCAAAAGCCCAAAACTCATCCCGAAAAAAACAGAAACAGGAAAATCATTTCCAGAACAGAACCCCCCAACTAACGGATGTGCCAAGTGGGTAGCACTGGGGGTTCGGGTCAAAAGCAATTGACCGCCCAGCAAGCAGACCAGCCAAACACAACACGAAAAAAGGGCCAAAAGCTTAATTTTGGATCAACACGGCACACGGAACAGAAACAGAAACAGAACAGTAGTCCCGTCCACATTCGGGGCAAGAAATTGTGCGGCTGGGAAAGGTGTTGCCTGTGGACTTATTGATACCTTGCAGTGTGTAGGAGTGTTCAGTGATTGATCCAATAGAACATAAAATACATACTTTCATTTAGGGATTTTTAAACTAAATAACTTTTGAATACATACATATATCTAAATGAAGATCAGCTAAAGGCCAAATGAAACCAAAATCTAATGAACAGCATAAATAAATAAATAATATCTTGGTTGAATAATAGTCAGATTAATATGAAAAACTTGAATGACTGCAATTTGGTGTCATTTAAATAGCTACAAAATTGGCATATTTCTTTTCCATAGAAATAAACGATCCCACTTCCATATCTTTCTTGAATATCTGCCTTAGTACCCGAAGCTTTGACTATAGCTAATGTTATGTTTCCACAAATGCTCGCAAGTTTATTTTTTAGCAGCCAGCTAAGCTCCTCTCCAATTGAGTCAACTACCCTAGCCCTTTTTGTCTTTTTGGTCAGTTACCTAGTTTGTGGCAGTAGCCCAGTGGACCCTTCATTTATTTTCATAACGTAAGAACGAGCCGACTTTATATGCTGGAATACTAGAAATAATAATAACAATAATAACCCACATGTCCGAGTACGGTACGGGTACGGGTACGGGTATGGGGACGGGTACGGGTGAGTACGAGTACGAGTGCGAGTACGAGTATGTATGGGGCCATTTGGCTTTAAGTGAAGTCATCAAAACAAGCCGCATCAGCGACAAAAACCAAACTGAATTCTGTGAAACTTTTGCCAGAGAGAGAGAGAGAGAGAGCAGAGCTCCGGACATAAAACCCAAAATGAAAAACGACAAAATATTACAGAACAGAGCTGAAAAGAGGATTTCTTAATTACTCAAGAAGTGGTGCGCGGTAGGAAGAGGATGCCGCTGACGCAGACGCAAACGGAGACAACAACAAAATGCAGCATTTAGGGTCGCTTCTTGTATTGGCCTCATCATAATTACAGGGCAACTTCTTCTATTTGATCCATAGGCCAGTTGGCCCTTGGCCGCTGGTCCCTGGCCCCTGGTCCCAGTCCGTTCATCGGGGCAATGATATGTGTCGCGCTCTAGTGCCAGCCAGCAGCTCCAGTCCGGCAATTATTTTACGACCTAACTGAAAACTCAACCAAAAAAAGAACAAACTCATAGCGATTCAGTGAAAAGCATTTGGCTCTTTTTTCGGTTCTAGTTTTTATATGAATTTCTGGTTACGGACGGCTGCCTTTGACAGATCTACGATAGCAAAAAATAAAACGAAAAAAAAAATAAAAACAACAAAAAGAAGTTCTTTTTGATCATGTCCCTGGGTCCGCCACGTGTTTTCTTTTTGGGGTGTCGCCGCAAGTGCCTACAAGTCGTTACAATTTTCCACGATTTAGTGGGATGGACCGACCGACCCCTTGCACAACCTCTTGTGGAGTACAGTTGCGCTCAGTTGGTGGATGCAGCGTGGCCAAAATGGTTCCATGCAACATGTCAAACTCAGCGGAGCAGAAAATCAAAAAAGTGCAAAAGGCAGAACCCATCAACAGGTTGCCATTGCCACAGCACACAGAGTGTACTTACCCCATAGAAAAAGAGAGACAGAGAGGGAGAGAGAGAGAGAGCGAGCACCCTACAAGTATGATAATAATTTAGACGCTTATCTCTTGATAGAGCTGGCCAACATGCAATATGGTCCCCGGATTCAGCCAACTCCCGAGTCGGGCTCCGGCTCCGGCTCCACACAGCACACAGCACATGGCAGAATGCAAACATTATTTTTCCGCTGCTTTAAATGGAAAATTGTGAAAGAATTATGTGTTAAACACGCAGCCGGGACCGCAGCAGCAGCAGCGGCAGCACCAGCAGCGGGCACAGAGCATTGGTACAGTTAACACAAAATGTAAAGCACATTCTTGGCTAATGCAAAGGAACGAACACTGGCCAACAAAAGTTGCTTGAAGCTGCAAACAGAGAGTAGTTGGAGAGGGTAGTGCGGTTGTTGCGAAAGAGGAGGCAAAATATTTACTAGCTGTCTACTAGTATTAGTTATGATCTATTTTATCTACGATCGGGACACCCGGAACTTTTAGAAACATTTTTGTTAATGTTTTGAGAGGTTAAGTAACAGTAACGTGCTGTTAGGTTAGCAATGTAACTGAATGTAACCTTAACATTTCAACCATTTTCACCTAATTTTCCATCTATGTGTGTGGCCTCTAAAACATAACTAAGCTAATCTACGACTACTATTCGCTCTAATTAAGTTACTAAAAGAACTCTGTAGAAGAACAAAAATATATTTTATATTTTGTGTCATCATAAGACATTATAGAAAGTCAGAGAATAAGAGGTAGCAATCCGAATATATTATTTTTATGCACTGTAAAATTATAGAATTTTATGCCTTGATTTAAGTTAAACCTGAGGAAGATGTTATTTCTACCTTAGACACTCTCTCACTCGTATTGATTTGCTTTACTTCCATGTCAATGTATCTCAACATCAATCCCCAGCCAAGAAGCTTTCCCAAGGCCTGTACCGTGTACCGTGTACCGTGTACCGTGGTACCTGTTGCCTGGTGTAAGGAAGTGCAGATGGCGCCTTAGACATGACTTCAATTAAAGTGCAATAACAACTCTATTACTAGCGAATGGCTGTATCAATAAAAGAGTCTTCTTTCAGTTTCAGGACGGGCAGGCAGGTGGCAGGTGGCAGCTAGCAGCAGATGACGTGAGATATGAAGAGCTCTAAAACAATAAAAATCTGAAATCAATTTCTACAAAAGCAGCGCTCCACCAGCAGCAATCGCCAGAGCCGATGGAGAAGCAATGATGCGTAAACGTGTTGGGGCTGGGGGTGGGGTTGATGGAGGGGAGAGACTGGGCTACCGGTTAAAGTCGATTCATGTTCCAAAAGGGGTCGGTCTCCTCCATCTGTACCGGGTCTCTGGCTCTGGCTCTGTCTCTGTGCCTGTGTTCCTGTGGCCGCGACCGAATCACACCTTAAATGGCGACTGGCGACTGGGACAAGGCTGCAGCTTCGAGAGCCTGTGATTATCTGAGAAAAGAAGCGAGAAATATTTATGAACTGATGGCCCCAGTCATTGATGAGGATCCCGATGATGCTGTCCGAACTGAATGGACTGCAATGATGCTATCACCAGGCCATCTAAGGGGAGTTTCTCTGTCTCTATACATCTCTACCACTGCAGCTCCAACTCCAGCTCCAACTCCAGCTCCATAGGCCACAATGAGTTGATGGATAGTTGCGTAGCAGGAAGCACGCTCCAAGTAACTTATGAAAATTCATAAAGAAATATAATAATAATAATAAGAAAAGAAACAAATCTTGGCATGGGATGGGCACGGGGACGGGGACGGGGACGGGGTCTCGGTGACCGAGCTCAACAGGTGTAATAATTGGAATCTGTTTTCCATCTGGCATCTGGCATTACGGCCCAAGCCCTAATCATGGTGACTGAGCGCGCGCGCGCGAGCCAAAGCCAAAGATTCTGCAGATACTTTCCGGCAGTCTACCGAGTTGCGGTTACGCTTGGTGGGCTGTGTGTCTAGGCATTAAACCAACCAGCAGCTGTAAAATTACATCAAATGTTTAACCAACCCCCAAGTGGGGAGAGCTCCACGCTGCTCCTCAAGCTACGAGTCAAATTTCTGGTATAGACCGCACAGAATTTCCTTTACTTCGAGCGATTACCAGTAGCCCATCCTGCAGCAGGCTCAGTGGAGGCTTTCCCACGCTCTCAGACCCACTGCTCCTGACTCCTGACCTGCCTCCAATTAGAGAGGCAGCCAAGCGTTGCCACATGTCACACCCAGCTCGCTGATCTGATGTTGCAGTTGCACTTTCCAGCTCCTCTGCTTAATTTTGTGTATTTGTCGTTTTTTTTTTTTTTTGTGGCATGACTTACGCATTACAACTGAAGCAAATGGAAATTTACATATCAATCCCCAAAAGCTGCGCCTCATGCTGATAATTATCTTGGCACACCAAGTGTCCAGGCTCGCTCTCTCCCTCTCTACATATTTGCCTCTCTTTCCCTGTCTCAGTCTGTTTGTAATTGAATTGGAGTGCAGCCGCGAAAAGGTCACAGACATTGCACATGGGGCAGCAAGCGGAGTCAGCAATAAGCCAAACACCAAGCTACAAAATATGCCAAATACAAACATAAGTAAGTGAAAAATAAAACAAAAATAAATTTATACAGTATATACAAAATACAAATAAATTAAATTAAATAAATTAATAAATAAAAAGAAATTTTAAAAATGTTATTAAAAATTAATTTCCAGAAAAAGTTCATTATCGGGGGACCGAATGCAAAAGAACTTAAAGATACATTTGTGGCGAGTATCTAAATGTAGAGGCACGCACCGTGGCACCCCCAATTAAGTATGTTTCTACAGAGTCCTCTCTCCATTCTATTTGAATTATTTTGAGTTGAAATTTGGAACTTCCATTGAAAGAATTATTTGCTGTTGAATACATTTCTTACACTGCTTCCACCAACTTGAACTTGAAATAACAATCCTTATGTATAGTGTAATTAAAGCCAGTGCTCGGCGCGTGAGATCAGCCATGAATAAGGCAAAAGAGCAGCCGTGGCCATAGCCATACCCATAGTTGTAGATGCATGTACACAAGTATCTCCGGCTGTAGCTGTAGCCACCTGTGCGCAGGCCACAGCATAATGCAAATTATCAGCTGAAATTGCACGAATGGTCAGGTGCATTCATAATGAAGAAACTTAGGACGCGCCAGAAGCCAGAAGCCGAAGCACAAGCAGCTGAGGAAGATGGGCCAGAAGTCGCTTCTTTCATAATTGAGTTGCAAGTGTTTCGGGGAGTGCCGAGTGCAGAAGGGGGCAAGAGTGGAACTTTTTGGCTTTTTGGTTCCCATGGACGACAGCAAAAGCGAGTTTAAACACTCCGTTTCATAGATAATCATCATAATTATCTGGCATACAATAAATATAATATCTAGGCAAATTACAACAATTAGGCAGCTCCCAGCGCACAGTTGGAAAACACCCAAAAAGTTTTACCAAAAAAAAAAAAAAAGGCCATGAGGGAAAGCAAATGATCGTTGGCTGCCTGTATTTATATTCGAATACTTTATCTCTCTCCTACATACAATGTATTGTATGCTCTGCCCTGCAGTGGCCCACAATGATAGAAACAATGGGCCGGGCTGGCTGGCTGGCTGGCTGTGCGGCCGCATAATAGACATAATTTTCACACGCGTTTCATTTCGGGGAGAGCACCCCAAATTAGGCAGAAAAACACTCTGTGGCGACGGGACACTCGGATCTGGCCAAAAAGAGTAAAACGCGAGCAAATGTTTAAGCCACAGCGGGGTGGGCAGCGAGGGCTGGGGGTAAAAACGTTTCAAAAAGGGGAAATATCGTTCGGTAATTTCGGGTCGATTAGAAAGTTGAAGTGGGAAAGGTTATGCCACAGTTAACTCAGGTTAAATTGCATAAGGAAGCTGCAGTCAAACGAATGTCGAGAATAATTAATGTTGTGTAGATAATTATCTAACACATTATTATGTATTTTATTTTATTTATAACAATGACTGACTCGGATGAGACCAGTTGGATTAATTGGTTCTGCAAGAAGCCCGGAAATGAGTTCTTTGTGATGGTGGACGAGGACTTCATCCACGACAAGTTCAACCTGATGTTCCTAGACATGGAGAAGAAGAACTATCGCAGGGCCCTCCAGGTGATCCTCGACCTGAACACTGGGTCCGCCTCCGATGGTGTACTCGATTCCGAAGCGGAGGTTCAAGAAGCCGAGGAGCTCTACGGGCTGATTCACGCCCGTTTCATCGTCACCGATCGCGGCATCGAACTGATGTACAAGAAGTACGTGAAGGGCGTCTTTGGGAAATGTCCACGCGTCTTCTGCGAGCGCCAGCACGTGCTGCCCATCGGCATGAGCGACCACATCCGAAGCGAAATGGTGCGTACCTACTCTACCATTATAATGGATAAATTGGGATATATAAATAAGTAAATGTCCTTAAAAAATGTATATGTAACTAAACACACAGGTAAATCTGATAAAACTAAAGAAAAAAGCCCCGAAATATTGAATTTGATGATTTAGAATTTTTAGATAAGTCTAAAACATTTTTTTAATATATATTTCATATTTAAAATACAGATATTTTTTATTGAAAATAATGTGTTCATATTTAACTAAATTATTTACAAAAAATTATTTCCAAAAACATTTTTATCTCCAATGAAAAAATTATTTTCTACATTTAAATTGAAGAAAATCCCACTATTCTCTCTGGTACCAAAAGTTCTCGGTCCACCCGCGCAGCTTCTATAAGTCCTCCCGGTATATACCAGCTTGTAACTCCATTCTTAGCTTAGTTTTTGTTGTTGCCGACATTGCATGGCACTACGTCCATTTGGATGGCAACAGCCCACGACTAAGCCCAATGCCTCCAAAAAGCGGAAACTCATTGGCAACGCTTCGTTGCGTAAATATCTCGACGCGACTTTTTGGCCAACAGGTTGGCAAAAAAAAGAAAATAAATAAAAAAAAGAAGCTACACACACTCGTACACCCGTACAAATAATACGAGTACCAGAGGAAAGAAAACGAAAAATCTGACGCCAAGCCAAACCAAAGCAAACCAAAGCAAAACGAAAACCGCCAAAGCAAAATGGCCGACAACAAAACAACAACAACTGAAAAATGGGTAAAAAATTTTTTTAATATTTCAGTTACGCTTGGGCAAGCGACAACATCGCGATAGAGCCTCCACCTCCACGACTTTGACTTCTTGAATCGTATATAGTAGTACGAATACGAATACGAATACGACTGCGATTACTCCCCAATCGTATGTGTGGGGGGGCTGATGATACTGCCACAATGGAAAAGGGTAAATCACAGAGGAGAGATCCAAAATAGATGGAGATCTCGTGCCAAGTCAGACCGCAAAGTACTGAGGACTGTACCGGTGCGGCCCGGCTCTGGGGGCCATCGAGCGAACACCTGAGCATTTCTTTATGGATCTTGAGCAGAAAACCTATCGCGGCGTAACGTCATTAAAATTAGTGCTATGCTGAGCTGAACTTAGCTCAAAGAGGGAGCCATAGTCTTCTGGTAAGATACGATATAGGGTGGATAGGGGTAAGTAACACACGTAACACACACGTTACAGATGGGGTTCTAGTCACGAACGCATATCGGTTATAGTTAGTCGCTTCAGCTCGGTTCGGTTCGGTTTGGTTCTTAGGTTCCTGCCTGGTGGGGTTACGCTTCGTTGTCAGGTGGCTAAGATGGCGTTGAATATTTCGGATATGTGGATGGTACAATAACCAATGTAGTGGTGGAGTAGAGGGCAAAACTAAAACCCATCCATAGGTAAAGCTCAGTAAAAGGGCTAGCGTTGGCATGTACCATGTGGGAATGGGCAAACGTTGACTCTCAGGTAATTAGAGTCAGCAACAAAGGCCATAATTACCTTGTAACTAGGAATTATGAAAATATAATAAAAAAAAAAACTCAAAGACAGAGAGAGAGGCGGAGGGAGAGAGTAATGTAGTCTAGGGCCACCCAACCACAGAGATCTGGTCTGTTCCATCGCCGCCACCTGACAGTCAGTAGTCAATCTTTAATGACTCTTAGTTTTATTTTACATCTGACTTTTTTTTCTTCCTTCCCTTGGCATTAGAAGATTTCTCATGATTGTCTACTATACAGCAGCAATTGTCTGTCTCTTTGGGTCAGGCCTAATCTCTGCTCTGATCCAAGTCGATTTCTTGTCTGCCCCTGCAGATCTCTCAGTGCAGTGCAGGGCAATAAAAACGCAGACACTCTGTGTGTACTTCTTTCGTCCGTTTGGTTTCTTTTATTAGTTTTATGCGCTTGGGAAGAATGCCAATTGCCTTTGGACATGGGACAATATTATCGGCAGCTCGGCTTGGAAAACCTCAACCTCAATGCCCAAAGGTCTGCCTTCTCTTCAATGTTTTTGCTCGATTTTACGAGCACTTTCCCCCCAGATCCTCAGTCATGGTCAGCGATATTAATGCAGCTGTACGTAATGAGTTCATCAATAGTCAAAGAACAAGAATTTATTACTAGTTCTTGTACACTTGCAAGCCAGGAAAATATTGCTTGATTAGACACAAGAAATGTGGAAATAGTAAAATGTTTATAGGGAATTTATTAATAGACAGTATTTGAAAACAGGGGAATATCCCTTGCATTGGTTTCTTTGAGAAAAGGAAAAATGGGAAATTCCCAAAAAAGTTTTCAGACTCTTCACTGCTTATTAAAATATAAGCCTTCAGTTTCTTTATAGCTGTTTATCGTAATACTAAAATTTAATTAGTATAGGGATATATGAAATAACTCACAATGCTACCAGGCGGTTGAAACAAAATTTCTTCCTTAATAACAAAATACACTGCGTGTGTGGGCGCAGCTTTGATAACTTCTAGGGCTCGAGATTGCAAAAATAATATACACACACACAATGAGGGGACGCAGTGTGTTGTTTTTATATTCCAATAATTGGGGATATATTATATTTTATTATTTAATATTTCTTTCATTATTTCTTTCTTCGGCGACTCTAGTACACATATGTGCCAGCCAGAGCTAGCTGTTGTCCCAGGAGGGAGTCTTAAATATTTTGCCTGAAATTCAAACTAATAAAATTGATTGATAAGGTGGCTCCAGAGAGTCGTTTCATAAAAATTAGTCCCCCCCCATTAAGTTTAATTCCTTTGTCGATTTGCGAGCCGATAACGGCGCACTTAAGCCCTTGAGTATGCAGAGCACCGACACAATATGTTGGGAATGCATGCAGTTCCACAGATTATACTCGTACCCACTCAGCTCAATCACCTCCGTCGCCCATCCATCCTCATCCCCTCTTACAGATTAAGGCCTGTGCATTATCAATGCCCTTATCAGTCTCAAGCCGCTTTCAATCGACGAGTGAACAACGCGGACACCAATCAGTATAGTCGAGGCATTGCTGCAGAACGGTTCGCAAAAAATAATGCTGAAATTGCTTTGGCTTGTCGTGATTCTAGCGGTGCTCCGTGGCTGCACGGCTCAGACCCCGGAAGCTTACCTGCTGCAGAGCTACAGGTGTGCTACAAAAGTGTCCTAAAACAGTGGCAAAATAGTAATATTTAATATTTTATTGTGATGTGAATAGGAAGTGGTGAAAGCTATACTTAAATTTTGGTATAATCAGACTTGTTTCTAAAGTAAACTGCAGTTTTTTTTTTCAGTTTTGTTCTCAAATTTATTTTAACAAGGGCTGAAATTCTTGTCTTCCGAAATTACAGAATATAAAATAAGTCCCAAACTTAGTCTGACTCTACTTAGATAAATGCATATGTATGGATGTAGATTTATTTACATATTAACAATTGATTTTCAAGCCCTCGCACATTCCTCGAAAATTGCAATACAGTGGAAGTTCGGAAATTAGAACCACTTGGTTCCTGGGGTGTTTCTAATTTCTGAAGATTTTTTTGGACAGGAAATGATAAAACCTTATTAAAAATAGTTGCGCAAGCTTTATTTTAATACAAAACAGTTTTTATTTATTCATTTAAAGTTAATTAAACACATTAAAAATACTTTAAAAACTTGTTTGTTAATTTTTAATTTTTAATTTTACTAATTTCCACACTCGTTACCCGAACTGTACACACCACAAAAAATTCGGGGACTCCCATTATTATTTTTACTTCAACCGAAAAGGCAAAGCTGTGTGGGCAATACAAAAACTCTTCCAGAAATTAGAACCACAAGTTATAGTTTGAGGGTCGCCAATGCAATAAAATGTCCAGTTCTAATTTCTGGAGTGTTCTAATTAGGGGGGGTTCTAATTTCGGAACTTCCACTGTACAAAAATCTATGATATGTATGTAGATATTTCCTAATTTCACTTTCAACTAACTTTGCGCGTGTTCGTATAAACAGGACAAGACTGTGCAATCTTTGAATTGTTTTATTTATTTTCAACAGGTCAGTTATCAGTTCTTAACAATTTTCGAGTATATACAAATATTCCGCACTCAAACATGAAGATACATGGGGGACTTAATCGGCTTAAAAACGTCGCATCTAATCAATCAAAAATAATCGTTTGAAGGGGGAATTATTGGAAAAATTGCATACTCGAACGTTTTAATCTGAAATGCGATAATGTGAGTTCTTAGCGGCTGGAATATCTTTCAGGCAGCTCCTTGATCCTTGCTCAACTAATTTTGCCAGTGTTCATCGTTTAGAGACATATGAAATATTTCGTATTTGGTAACTCTAAACTCTCTATTTCGCTCTCTCCCTCTCGCATTTAATTTAAAGTCTCCCCCCAGATCTAAACTTCATGCCCACCCTGGGCAATGGTCATGTGGGCTACACGGTGTTCGGGGATGCCATCTTCATGAACGGAGTGTACAATGGGCCCTCAGGCAACAGCAAGCGAGCTCGCATTCCCAATTGGCTGAACATCTCAACGGAAGTTTGCGATCGTTTCGGCTGTGCCACAGACGCGGATGTGGCCGTGAATGGTACCAGCTATGAGATGGATCTGCGGGATGGCTACTTCCGTTCTAGAACAACTTACAAGGGCCTAGGACTAACCGTGGAGCAGAGAACGTATCCGCATAAGTACTTCAATAGGGCCTTGGTTTATGAGGTGGTGGCCACCAGGAATAGCGGATATACAGCCAGGGCGAACTGTGAGTAAAAAAAAAATGGAAAGGGAGGGGCACAACGACTGACGAGGATTTCCCATTGCAGCCCCACAGTTCCTGAGACTAAGCCAACACCCTGGCAATGCCAGCGATGCCTTTGAGTTTGTGGTTGTGTCCAATGGCAGCAGTGCCAGCGGAGATTATCGCACCATTCGGGGTCGCACGGAGGTGCTAGAATTCGAGCGTTTCCAGCCAGAACACCAAGAGATCTACGTCCTGTTCAGCGAATCCCTGGAGCAGCCCCTGCAATTGGAGTGGCCCACCTGGCAGGCGGAACTGAGTCATCGCATCATCATCTGCATAGATCGGCAACAGAGTGTGGCCCTCAAGGAGCTGCAGGATGTGCTGCAATTGAATGCCAACAGCCTGCTGCAAAGACACACGGATGCCTGGCGCAACTTCTGGGACCGAGACTTCTCCATCGAGCTGGTGGGCAATGCTCCGGAACTGTCGCAGATCATCAATGCTGGCATCTTCTACCTGGCCAATTCGCTGCCCTCGCTAAGCACCAACCAGGCGAATGAGCCATTTTACGGCCTCAGCCCCACTGGCCTGGGACGTGGCAATCTCGAGGCGGACTATCAGGGTCACAATTTCTGGGACACGGAGATCTGGATGCTGCCGGTGGTCACACATTTTGGCTTCGAGTATGGCAAGCAGGTGCTGGACTATCGCAGCAGGAAACTCGAGGCAGCCAAGTACAATGCGCGTTCAAAGGGCTTCAAGGGAGCCAGGTGGGATGATTTTCTTGGCACCTAACAGAGTACAGAAACTTCCTTCCTTCCTTCCTTCCTTCCATCCCCTTAGATTCCCCTGGGAGAGTGCATTCACGGGCACTGAGGTGACGAATCCCTGCTGCCCCGAGGTGGCCCAACAGGAGATACACATCTCTCCGGACATCTCCCATGCCCTACAAAAGTTTCTAGCCCAATCGGGAGACTTCGCTTGGGTCTGCGAGAAGGCCTGGCCAATTGCCGCAGAGGTGGCTGAATTTGTGGTGAGTCGTGCGGCCTGCGAGGAGTTCCGTCCAGTGTGCCACTTGCTTAATGTAATGGGACCCGACGAGGATCATCCGGATGTCGATGACAATGTCTATACGAATGCTGTGTCCAAAATTGCTTTGGAATTTGCCGAATGGGCGGGCGTTTATTGCGGCAATGACAGCACTGAACTCTTCGAGAAGTGGCGCCTTGTCAACGATCGCCTGTTGATTCTACACGATACGCAGCTGGATTATCATCCCCAGCATGTGGGCTATGTGGTGAACACCACCGTCAAGCAGGCGGACACCATTCTGCTGGGATATCCCCTGGGATATGATAAAAGGTAGAGTTGATCCTTAGTACTGGGGGGAACAATCTTGTGATAATCATTGCATGCCCAACAGCACCACGCACCTAAACGATCTGAGAATTTATTCGAATGTAACCAGAGAGTCGGGACCGGCCATGACTTGGTCCATGTTCGCCGCCAACTATCTGACCAGCAAGGAGGAGTGGACTGGCCACGAGTATTTCGAGCGCGGCTACAAGAACTACGTCCGTCCCGAGTTCAAGGTGTGGAGCGAAACGCCGTTGGGCTATGAGGGTTCCGCGAACTTCATCACCGGCATCGGTGGCTTCCTGCAGGCCATCATCTACGGCTATGGTGGCATCAGCTTTAGCCGAAATGACAACAAAACCATGATGAATGTTCGCGTGGGCACAGCGCCGCTGGATGTGTCCGAGGTGCATGTGAATTATTTGCGCTATGCGCATAGCACATGTCGCTGGATCTTTGGGCATGCATTCTCCAAAATGGACTGTGGCGCCCGAACAGGTCCAGACTTTGTGATGGTGCAGGGCAAAAAGCGAACTTTGCTGGGCAGATCGTTCAATGGTGAGACTTTCTTATCGCAATTCTACAAAGTAACTGGCCCTAAAATTATGGTATCCCCCCCCCCCTTCTGTTTTGCAGTGACACTCCTGAAAGGTGATGAGCCCATTCAGATTAGCTATTTGGAATAAATTGAATACATTTTATTATTATTTTGAATAAATATGAAGAGAACTACATATTTTTGCGGGGGTGTGTGTGTGTGTGTGTGTGTGTGCATATTCGTGGGAATTCTAAATTAAAATATTTAGTATGCCATTTTTGGGAAGGATCTATTGCATTTGGTTATGGCTATCTTGGATCTGTATTGGCCCCCTACTTAAATTTGGCTATGGATGAACCACTAACACCGGCCGCATTCTTGCTGTTGCCACTGAGCACCACATAGGCTGTCTTTGTTTCCTTTTGCTTGTGCTGCAACATGGTCAGCGTGCCCAATGGGGTGTCCGTCGAGCTCATTGTTTTCATTAGCTAATAGGTAAAAAAAATTTTGATTAAAACTTGTAAAAAGTGAGAAAGCTATATTTGATTTGCTGGCTTACCCCATCTTGTTCCATTTTCTTCAAACGTTTCTCAATCTTATTCTTGCCGGGCCCCTTGCCATGGAACTTGTGTGACAGATAGCGGAACGCCTCCTTGAGGTTCAATATGCGACCATTGTCATCAATGTAGTCCAACTTGACATTCGGCTTAAAGGTCTCTTTATCCTTAAAGTCCATAATGGGTCCGCAGTGGAACCGATCACGACGGCCAACCTTTTCGTCTTCCCTGCAAGAATTAAGAATAAACATTAGCATTTGTTCCTATTATATATAAATATATATTAACTATAAACACCCACCCAGCTGCTTTGTCCTCAATGGAATAATTCTTGGCCTGCAGATGGGCCATTTTGGTATTGCTGGGCCTGTTCTTTTCCTCCCTTTCGAGGTAACCCTTGGACAGGGCCAGACGTAGGGCATTCGCCACACCAGCGCCCACATCAGGCTCCTCGTCCAGAATGGCACGATCCTCCAGATCCTCGCCGAGATTGTCCAAATCAGCTGGCTGCATAACCTCATCGGGATTCACCGAATTCCACGTGCCATGGCTCAGCGCTGGCTCATCATTGTGCGCATCCATATTATCGTCCAGCTGCTCGATCTTGTCAAAGTCCATCATATCATTGGAGTCCTCGTTACGATTGCCGGCCATGCCATATGTGGGAATGTCGCCCAAGGTGCGACAGAACTCAGCCGTGGCATTGAGCACGATGTGACCATCCACACTGCTCAGCACGACACCCGAACTGGCCTCATCGATAATCTCCGGCTTGATGTCACGCTGTATGGACTCGAACTCAATGGGCAAGGGTTTCTTGATAATGTTCTCCTTTTGCTTCAGCTTGCGAGCCTTGGCTAACACACGCTCCAGATCATCATCCTCGTCGGCTTCATATTTAACCTCCGGCTTGGTCTCCTCCATCTCAACATCTTCGGGATCGCGATGACGGCCCTGACGGCTGCCGAAATTCGACATGCCTGATGTTCCGGCCTCAGGCAAAGGCTCGAGGTCTTCGGCCCTCAGTTTCTGGCGAATTTTCTTCACCTTTTTCTTGGGCTTCTTGAATCTAACGAAAGGGAATGAGATTATTTTGGATTAAAGAAAGCAAAGTAGATGGCAAACTTACTTGGACATTTCCTCCACACTGAATGTATCCGAGGCCAGCTGCAAATTGGTATCCGCTAATGTTTCCAGACGTTTGCCAGCCAGCTTTGTCTTAATTTCCAGCAGTCTGCGTCTGTTCTCACGATCCTCCTCGGAATTTTCACCAATCACAAAGTTCTTGCGCTTCTTGGGCTGTCCCTCAATGTCATCGTCATATTTCTCCAGCACCGAACGTTCGATGGGGTTGCCCAACTCGTCGTATTGCTCCTCATAGACATTGTAGCCATAGGCGAGGGGATTCTGTTTCTTGTTGACGACATTCTTCTTGTAGCGCTCATCGTCGAGCATGTTAACATTGACCAGGGTGTCGCCCTCTTCCTCATTGAGAACATCCTGATCCTTGAGCGTGAGGATAACCGTGCGACCTTCACCAAAGTCATCCATATCGTGCTCCACACGCAAACCCTTCAAATTGTTATCGCCATAGGCACGTTGACGGGCCTTTTGCTTCTCCTGCTCAACTATATCTGCAATGCCAAAGGCCTCATCCAGTTCCTCCAGCTCTTTGGCCTGGAGGGTAAATAAAATTCATTTTATTGGAATCCAAATATGAATTAAAGATCCAGCTGACGCTTACCTTCTTCTTTGCCTCTTCGCGTTCATTGACTACTCGCTTGTTCTTGTCCACCCATTTGGTGACATTATCCGTCTCCTCATCGGATTCCCCCAGCGTTCTGATGCGTGCCAGTCGCTCCTCCAGGAAGCGTTTCTCCTTCCGCTGCTTGAGCTTCTCACGCAGCTTCTCTGCCTCCTTTTTCTCCTTTAGGTTGTCGGCCGGCTTGTGCAGGAACTCTCCCCACTCGTCCTTGTACGAGGAGAGATCGCTGTCCCCACCGGACTTTTTATGCTCGCTTGTCGCGGCAGGAGTCACCTTGCTGGGCCCACTATCCACTTCGAGGGGCTTCAGGCCTAGCTTGGCACGCAATTTATTGGTTTCCTGAACTGAGAGAACATCGCCAGCTCCATTATCGGGTATGGGCGAATAGGAGCGTCCGGATGCCTCGCGTTCTCTGGCTGCTGGACCGGAGGGTTTGCGACCCGACTTTGACGGCGACTGTGATCGGGAGCGTTCTCGGTTCCCCCTCTCCCTCTCCCTGCCAGCACGTTTGCGAGCATCTCGTTCGCGTTCGATTTCTCGCTCCCGTCGCCCCTCATAGTCCGCGTGCCTGGATATTTGTGGCGGCGGTGGAGCGGAGAGCTCACCATGACGTTCGCGTTCGCGCTCACGCTCACGCTCTCGTTCTCGGTCCCGATCGCGCTCCCTTTCACGATCCTTGGCGCGTTCCTTTTCGCGATTCCTGTCGCGTTCCCTTTCACGTTCCCGGTCACGGTCTCTTTCACGCTCCTTCTCCCGCTGCTGGTCCCTATCGCGTCCTGCCTCTCTGTCACGAGCAGATGCTCTGTCCCTGACGGGCGGCTCTGGCTCGCGTTCCCTTTCCCTGGCGGACGCCTCCCGTGCCTTGGTCTGCTCCACTGGCACCTCCACACAATCCGAACCTGCAAAGAAGAGGTACAGGTTAGAACAGGGCTATCACGATGCTGTCGAATCGCTTCTTATATCAAATTTTCGGTTTTCTTCTCTCCCACTCACAATCTGCAGCAGCAGCATCGGACAACCTGCAAAAACAAGAAACGGAGAGAGAAGAACACCAAAATTTAGTACGTCCAGAACCAGGATAGTGCAGCACCAAGGCCATTGCCGGGCCCCAGGCAGTCCAACACAATCAAAGAAATCGCTTTTCTATTTGGGTCTGTCGGCCACGGCAATCGCCCTTGAGCTTGGTCTGCACCTGCGTCCGCATCCCCGCCACACTTACTATCCGAATCGGATTCCTCCAAGGAGATAACCTCGCTGGCACGCTCCCGCTCCTTGTGCTTGTGGTGCTTGTGGCGGTGCTCCTTTTGTTCCTTGGGATCCTTTTGCTCCTTTTGCTTCTTGTGTTTGTGATGTCTGTGTCGCACCGCGGACAAGTCGTCCGTGAGGTCTAATGTCACATCCTCATCCTCAGTGGCACGTGCCTGGCGTTCAGCGGACCTCGAGCGATGCCTCGCCTTTTTATCCTTCTTGTGCTTCTTTCCAGACGACGAGGATCCCATTTTTTCAATATTTTTTTCACAAATTTCACAAAAAAAGCAATGTATGAGACGCCAGTGTGACCAGAAGTTGGTTGTTGAAAAAAAAAAAAAAAATCGACAATAAAAATACTGAAAAATACACGAAATTCTTCTTCTTCTACATCGATAAATAATATCAACAATAGCAACACGCGGAAATTCGGGAAAATATGGAGATTAAAGTATGTTTAAACTTTAAACCCATCATTTGTGAAGTATTGCTATCTATATTTATTGTACTCTGCAGAAATCGAAAAAGTCAAAGAGCGGCAAAAAATCCAAGGAACCCAAAGATTCGACCCTCACACTGAAACTGACGGCACTGAGTCGTAAGCGAAAAGAAGTCATACGCGTTCTCGCCCTGAAACAAGAAATCCTGCTTAAATCGGCAGTATCATATTTAGAGTACCTGGAGCTCCGTGCGGAGATGGAGCGTCTAAATGGCCTCAAGGAAAATTTTACGCGACGCGTTGACAAATTGAAACAACAAGCCAAATAGTTTATACATGAATTGTAGTCGTAAGGGCTTAAACTTAACGTAGGGGCTTAACAAAATATAAGGAACAATTGATAATTATCAGATAAGAGAATCCATGTAGTTGTCGATACTTTAGACGCTGCTCTTCTGGACTGAGCCTTGTAGTAACTTATCCGCCGACGCCGCAAAGCCCATCCACATGCGGTTGAACTCCTCCTGGAATTGACAAGTCATAACCTCGTCTGAGCTGATCGTACAGTTCTCGTAATTGCCACAGAATCCATTATATGTCCAGTTGACGGAGCCGCTTATCAGGACACTTTCGTACGGTCGTGGCCATTTACGTTGCTTCAGCTGCAGAATCTCTTGCACCCGAGTCTTGCCATCGATCACGCAGAACTTGTGATGCATAATGAGAGTAGTTGTGAATGGGCCGCGCACGGGTACACCGAAGGCAGCCATATTCAGGATCTGTGATTTAGTAGAATAGACCATTTCGCGATCGCTGATCACGCGAATTGACACTCCTCGCTGAAGCGCTCGCTTCAGGGCCTCCCATAAAACTTTGGAAGTGAATGTGTATATGGCTATATCAATGGAGTATTGGGCCTCATCCATTAGCGCAGCAATCTTATCCAACTTTCTCAGGCTGCAGTGATTGTTTCCGCAGTCAACAGCTGTCGAGGACTTGCCTCGATGCTGCTCGAAACAAATTTCTCCCAGCTCGTTGAAGAAGAGAACCTCGTGGACTCGGAGGCGTCGCTTATGCCCGCGTACGTATTTGATTGCTTTCCAAAGCAGCTCCGAGGCTAAAACGGTGCCGGCAAAAACTGTGACGGTGGCCAGAATCGGATGACTGCTTGCGAGATCGAACATATCAACAAGTTCCATTATTTAATGTGTATTTTTGTCAATGTTCGCTTTAAACGAGTCCGCTGCAAACCGATAGACTGCACTAGGATATCGATGATGGTCACGATGTACCTCTCGTCGACAAAAAATTTTAATGATCTGAGTACTGGCCCTCAATGCAAAATATAGTAACTTGCAGATTACAATTGTATATATATATATAAATAGTAATATAAATATTATAAAAATATTATCTAAAATATGGATCGATACATCGATATATGTTCAATAACAACCATGCGCTGATCGCTTGACACACATTTTCAAATTCGAGTACCCTTTATCCCTCTTTTTTTGACTTGCAAATCAAAACATAAAATAAAATGAAGAATCTGCCGTCTACAACAATTTTGTCCAGTGACACCAAGGAGCTGCTGGAAGCCCGTGAAAATGAGCTGAAGAAGGTGCTTCAGTTGAAACTTTTGCTGGATGGATTGCGCCGTTTGGATATGGGAAAAAATCAGAGCCCAGAAATCAAGCGAGTACTCAAATTGGTGTCCATTGGGGAATTTGTGCGTCTAGGCGACAGCGATGGCCATCAAGATCACGTACTTGGTAAGATCTGCTACTTTGATTCCATATTCTTTTGTTCATATTCATGTTTTTGGCAGACCTACAGGACTACAAGAAAATCCCGGCCCTCTCCTACACAGACCGCAAGGCTGTGCGCACCAATCTGACGGCCAAGCTGCAGGCCTGGCTCATGCCCATTGCCGAGCTGGGCGACCAGATACGTGAGGAATTCCCCGAAGTCTTCAGCAAAGACTTGGAACTAAACCCCGGGCAAAAGGAGATCATCAGGTTAGAGGTAGAGCATCGCGCCAGCTTTGTGAAAAAGGGGGAGCTGCTCAGCCGCAAATGCGCCCTGCTCAATGATGCCGCCGAGCTGAAGATGGGTCCCCACCTAGTGGACGAGCTCCTCCTAAAACAGGCGTCCGCGGAAGTGACCCAAACCAAAGCAGAACTGCTGTGCAGCTGCGTCATCAATGAGATTACATCGCGCTCAGAGCACAGTGTGAAGGCCATCAAGGAGGTAGAAGCACATCTGGATGAGCTGCTTAGTGCTAAGAACTCGGCCACCAGCGTTCAAAATAAGTAACAAGCACTAAGATTATAACAACATTAGTTTTAAATAAATTGCAAATTGCGTAAGACGGGGCTGTTACACCATTGCTGGCAGGTGGCAACGCTCTTGCATAGTGGCATCGCGGCGACCAAACAATTTGCAAAATAAACACTTTGGGCGGATTCGATTGACCATGACCGAGACCAGTCCCAGTGAATCCGATCCCCATGTGGAAGAGCAGCCCGCAGATGAGGATGCTGCTGTGGCCGCACAGACACCGCCAGACGCAGCGCCCACTCCCTCAACGAATGGCGCCGGCAACGGCTTGGACGCAGAGGAGGAGAACGATGGGGCCTCTCTGGACCGTGACGATTCCGCCAGCCTGTTTAGCACTACCACGACGACTACCAGGAGCAAGTCGCCAAACACGCGCAAGCTGAACCGCCTGTGCAGGCGCGTCAAAGCACCGAAAATGGTTCCACCGCTGTACAAGTACAGGTGAGCGGCATGAGCGGGTGTTCTGCATCCCATGACGCCCCTGACTACCTGCCTTTTGCAGCTCCCATGTGAAGGAGGACCACAATCACCAGATCTTCGGTGTTCAGTTCAATCCATTCCTAGAGAGGGGCCAGCCACAGGTCTTTGCCACCGTGGGCAAGGATCGGGTGTCCATCTACGAGTGCGTCAAGCGAAACGAGCAGGAGGACATCAACGGTGGCCTGCGCCTGCTGCAGGTCTATGCTGATCCAGATGTGGGTACAAAGTACATCGCATACACTTCTTGGATGTAACTTAAGTTTCGTTTTAGACCGATGAAAGCTTCTATACTTGCGCCTGGTCGTATGACACCATCTCTGGCGATCCAGTGCTGGCCGCTGCGGGCTATCGCGGTGTCATACGCATCTTCAATCCCATCAAGCATCAGTGCAGCAAGAACTACATAGGGCATGGCCATGCCATCAATGAGCTTAAGTTCCATCCGGTTCGGCCGCAGCTGCTGCTGTCCGGCAGCAAGGATCACTCGCTGCGTCTGTGGAACATTCAGTCGGATGTTTGTGTGGCCGTCTTTGGCGGCGTGGAGGGACACCGTGACGAGGTGCTCTCGATTGACTTTGATCTGCGCGGGGATCGGATCATGTCCAGCGGAATGGATCACTCGCTGAAGCTGTGGCGCCTGGAAAAACCCGAGATCAAGGAGGCTATCGAGCTGAGCTCGAATTTCATTCCCGGCAAGACGACAGCTCCATTCCCCACCATCAAGGAGCACTTTCCGGACTTTTCCACGCGCGACATCCATCGGAATTATGTGGACTGCGTCCAGTGGTTCGGCGACTTTGTCTTCTCCAAGTCCTGTGAGAACTCCATTGTCTGCTGGAAGCCCGGCCAGCTGTCTGCCCCCTGGCACGACATCAAGCCGCAGGAGTCCGCCACGACAGTTCTCCATCACTTTGACTACAAAATGTGCGAGATTTGGTTCGTGCGCTTTGCCTTCAACTCGTGGCAGAAGGTTCTGGCCCTGGGCAACCAGCTGGGCACCACATTCGTGTGGGAGCTCGACTGCAACGATCCGAACTTGACCAAGTGCAGCCAGCTGGTGCATCCGAAGAGCAACTCCACCATTCGACAGACATCCTTCTCCAAGGACGGATCCATTTTGATTTGTGTCTGTGACGACAGCACCGTTTGGCGCTGGGATCGGGGAAATTAATTCGTAAGCCATTTATTTATTTATGCATAATTTATTTTATTTGAAAATGTATACATATAAGTTGTCCTCCAGCGAACTCTCTTAATCGGCTCAATATAGAAATTTTTTCAGATGGCGTTCAGTTTGTGAACTTACTGGAAGTTTCGTGCTTTCGAGCCTTTGGCGAGACTTTTTTGCTCTTTTGCGAGTGTTTTGCGATGGCCATAATAAACAGGGGAACATGGCCAAAAAAGAAACCGATTCGGTATTCGGTATATTTTGGTATAAAGGTCAGACGGTATATTTTAGTGATAAATACGCGGTCACACTGTTCACAGTGCAGTGCAGTTGTTTATTTTTGTTTTTAGATTTTCCAATTTTTTCAATTTAAATCCGAATCCGTTGTAAAATGCTGACTGACAGGGTGATAGCCACCAAGGAGGCTCTGGTTGTGGCTCTGGGCGACAACTGGGAGCGCTACAGATCGAACATGAAGAATTGGTTTCGAAACCGCTGGAGCAAAGAGGAATTCGACTGTGAGTGCCGAAGGATAATGTCGCCGGACAAATTACATCTGCACAACCAATTTCTGCTGGCTCTGCTGAACAAGATCGATGCCTTTGCACCCGTGGAGACGACGCCGCCGTTGCAGGCCAGCAACAGCAACAGAAGCAAGCGGCGGAAACGAAGCACACGAACCTTTGCGGAACGTTTGAATTTTGAAATCTTGGAGGTGCTGGACTTTGTGGCGGAGGACAATATGCAAGTGATCCGACCACCGCCCACTATAGGTGGGGACCAGCCGATGCAGCAACATCCGCCCATTCAGCGATACTGCGCCCAGGAACTGTTCCTGCCCGATGCTGGCTTTATTATGGGCCGCTTTCTGATCGGTGCCTGGGAGATTGGCCTCGTCTCGGTGGACGACAACGTGGCCGAGTATGTGGCCATGGCGGTGCAAGTGCTGCTCAAGGATCTGCTGGGCACCATCATCAAGAAGCGCAAGCACTACAAAACCAGCGGCGAAGGCAACTTTTACTATGATGTGGGCGCTCCACTTCGGGATCCCGCCCAAAGGAACACTGTGACACGGCAGAAGGTGGACGACACTCCACTGGAGCTTGACAAGGAGCTAAATACTGCCAATTTTATGAGGAGGCAAAACGACGATGTCATCTTTCTCTCTGCCTGCGAAGAAGTGTAAGAGGATTTTTTGTTATCAATTTTCCTGTTTGACTACTGAAATTTTTCTCATTTACAATTTGCAGCCTTCCCAGCGAAACGACGCTCATCACGCTCGAGGATTGCCAGCTAGCCTTTCGGGATCGCAACTTGATTGGCTCCCACTCGGTGTACTCGATCAACATGGAGCGCCTCAACATGATGATGCATTAACTCATCAACCAAAGTATTTTAGAAACCTATTTAATATCAGTTCTATTCATGTAGATGTAGCACAAAGCACAAAGGGTGCTCGTATATAGGGTATATACACAGCTTATACTACGAACCAAAGTCTTAACAAAATTCGCGTGGCGGCGGATTAAAGGGCACATGGCCAGGCAGAAATTGGTCCGCCTTGAAGGCTTCAATTTCAGCTGGCGTCAAGGATTCCAAGGTGCTGTACAAAGAACTGCCCACTGGCTGTGGATGTTGTTGTTGTTGCTGCTGAATCATTTGATGTTGCTGTTGTTGTTGTTGCTGCTGCTGCATCATTTGTTGTTGCTGTTGAAGCAGCTGTTGCTGCTGCTGTTGGGGATTTACTTGCTGCAACATCTGTTGCGCCTGCTGCTGCTGCTGCTGCTGTGGAGGGAAGCCAACTGTCTGGGCTGCTTGGGCAAACAGACCATTTGGCGGCTGCTGTGGCTGTTGGGGCACCTGTGCAAAGATACCGCCACTGGGATTGACTCTAGCTTGGCCAAAGACTCCTCCTGGCTGCTGTTGAAAGGCACCACCAAAAGGCATTTGATTCGCTGCTTGGGGCTGGGGCTGAGCCTGAGCGAATATATTGCCTCCCTGAAAGGCCTGGGGTCCAGCTCCCTGCTGCTGCTGTTGTTGTTGTTGTTGCTGCCCAAAAACACTTGTTGCTCCGGCCACGGTCCCGCCGCCAAACATGCTGTTTCCCGCGTTACCAGATGCCATGGAGCCTCCGAAAAGGCTTTGTGTGTTATTGACTTGATTTGCAGCGCCCAAGATGTTGCCGCCACCAAGTGTCGGCTTACTGAAGATGGAGCCAGGGGCATTGGCAGCCGTTGCGGCAAAGGGATTTTGGTTGGGCGCACTAGAGACGGCGGAGCCTCCTTCTGGGGCATCGTAGATCTTGATCATAACATCGACCATCTGTGGGGTCACTTGGGTCATGGTCTTCATCTTGTTGGTGGCCTCCATGACCTCACGGTTGAACTGTTGATGGAACTGATCGAAGCTGTTCAGACGCTTCGACTCGTAGCAGAGCAGGCGGACCTCTTCGAAGGATTGATCCTCAACGAAGTTCGGCATGTTGGCCTTATCCTTGAAGGGGCCGTACACCGAGAAGGGCCACATCTTGCCATTGATGCTGGCTTCCATGTCATTCTTCAGCACCACTCTGAAACAATCCAGCAAGTTTGTTATTATCTTTCAATTTCGTTGTGGCGCTCTTTTCATACTTGATGTCAAAATGTTCGTTGCTGCACTTGGTGCCAAAGCGGCAGGAGCCCTGCTGGAAGAATCGACAAATTACCATGCTTATGTACTTTTTAATTAATTAATTTCGCAAACAAATATAAAACAAAACAAAGCTGTGACGGGCTGGGGGCCGGTAAATGCATGATTTTTATTTTTTCAGCTTCCGGTCACACTCTACTCTCTTTGGCTTGATCGGCCTTGGCAGGGTATGGAAAACACAGCCCAGCAACATTTCTGTCAACGGTATGTTAGGAATTGAGGTAAATTTTAGCTAGCAAAAGTGTTATTTTCTGAACAGTTTTGCCTGTTTTCCATACCTTTTTTTCCTCAGCAGCTTGTGAATGTTGCCCAGCAACATTATTAGGCACCAGCAACATCTGAAGGCGGGCTGATTTGAAGCACGGCCTTGCCGCCCCAATGTATCTCGTATGTCACAAATTTGTTGGACGCGGACAAGCAAACACACAGAGATAATGTCGAATTTGTATATAAATTCAGCAAATTAGTCGACTTATCCCACAGGAATAGCGCCTACAAATAATTATCAGTTCCGTTTCGGCGCGAGTGATTGGTACGGCTGCGCTTTTAGTTAATTGCGCATTTTGTTATTGTTTTAATGCGTTTCACTCATCAAAGTGGGCGGCACTCGCATCAAATGATACGGACACCGGCTGAATTGGCCTCCTAAGGCTGGGAATACCGCTTCCAGAAACGCGCTTCGATAGTTTGCAACAAAACGGAAAAAATTAAAACGCAACAGGCAACAACGCGAACCGAACGCGTCTTTTGCGCTTGAAAAGGGCATTCGGGAAGGCAGGAAAATTCAAGCCAATAAAAGATACATACAAGAAAAAATGCAAAGAGTGCGCGAAAATTGAATGCGTGTGCGAGCGTGCTAGTGTGTGTGTGTGTGTGTGTGTGCAACCATAAAACAAACAAATAAAAGTAGTGTGAAAAATAATTTGTGTGTTGTTTAAACAATTAGCCGCAAAAACGGTCGCATCGCATCGCGTCGCGTCTCTTTCTGTCTGTGTGTGTGTGTTTCTGTGTTTGTGTATCCCTGGAATGCGGCAGTCGGCGGCGCATGCGCAAATATTTGTGATTTGTTTTTGTTTGCGCGCAGAAGCTGAAGGAGGGAGCGAGAGAGTGAGCGTAAAGGGAAGCCAACATTGGAATACCACAACGATATCGATGGCCGTCTGCATAAGGTTAGTTTTATTTAGTTATGCTTCCATTTTCAAACCATCCCACGGGAGGAAGTACTGCTCGGCTGATTGAAGCCCACGTAACCCCCAGAGACCCTGCCCACTCGAAATTAACCCATTCCCGACATGCCTCTCCCTGGCTGATCCCGAAAATTGCTCTATTCTCTTTTGAGGCACAGTGACGCCCACTTTGTCAGCGCAACGCCCACACTTTCCATTATATTTATTTCTTCTTTTGTCTTTTTTTTCTTCTCATTTCCAAACCCATTTTCCCTTCCTTTCCTCCACTTATCTTTGGACACTGACAATAAAAAAAAAAAAATGCAAGTAAAGAAAAATCAATTTTCAAAATAAAACAACAACCAGGACAAAAACAAAGGTAGGGGAGGTTGAGGAAGATGTGGAAAGAGAGAGAGCGAGCAGAGATATCAGAAGAGGGGTATCAGGATCGGCATAAGAGCCGAGGAGTGGAGAATGAACGACAATAACATCAATTTTGAGGCATTTATATGCGCCAATAAATTTAACAAGAGAAACAGAGACAAGAGGCCGAGAGGCCGAGATAGAGAGACAGAGAGAGATAGAGACAGACAACGGGAGTGGGATAATAGTAGTAGGGGGCGGAGGTGGAGGAGGGTTGGAGAGGATCAGGGAGAAACATGGGGATAAAAAGCAACAAATAACAAGCAGAAAGATACACGACAACGTGCAACAATAAGACACAAGATCAAACAAAACCAGCAGCCTCTGCCGACGAGGCAGCAACAGCAACAGGTAAAAGCAGCGACGGAGGCGCATGTGCAGCATTTCAAGGTGTGCTAATAAAAAGGTGAGGCATTCCCAGGAAGCGCCATCACAGCAACAGCATAAGGTGCATCAGTTACAGTTTAAATTCAGCAACGCAAAAATACATTGAGTGAGAAATTTGATTAAGAAATTAGGCAACCCGGTGAAGAAGGAATTCCCACCTGCTCGAAAAACACACCTTGGCTGCATTTCGAAATGTGCAGCAAATCAATACCAATGTGTGTGTGTGTGTGTGTGTGAGTGAAAGAGGCTGCCTGTGGCATGCGGGGGGCAGCAACAACCTGTTACATCGGCGCTGCCCCCTCCGCACCGTTTCCTGCTGCCTGAAATATGTAAAGTCAATTTCGTGTATCGGAAAACTGTAACTAATGCCAAAGCGTCAGCGCAGCAAACAACCAGCAGCACCCAGGGGCAGGGGCCAGTGGCAGGGGCACAGTTAGAGGCAGCCGCAGCAGCAGCAGCCTTAACCCATTAACGTAGATTGGAGAAATTAATGAGAAATAAAGAGGCTGTACTTATCAGAAGGGAATTGGGAATAAAAAACATTTTAAAAAGTAGTCTATTTTCTACCTTTGTGCCCCAAATGGCTAAATAGATTTTCGGCCTGCTTAATGCATTAACATCGGAATGTATAGATATTTGTATATATAAAGCTGAACATTCTGAGCAGCTGGAAAATTCGAGTAGAGTTTATTCTGGCCTAGAAAAAATGCGTATATTCAATTCAAATTAAAAAAACCGGAGTAGAAAATGGTGGAAAAAATAAATGCAAAATTTACCTACTCACGGCACCAATGGGTTAACAGGGGCCACATTTCGGACCAAGTTCGTTGCACGCGGCGGAAAATAAAAGACAACAAAGTAAAAAACTTTTTTGTCAATGAAAGAAGAAAACTTTCTTTTGGGCTTATCCACATCGCCGACGGCTTTCGGCTGGCTCGTTCTGCGTCTCTCTTTCGCTCTCTCTCTGGGTGTCTGCCTCTGCTTGGCCTACCAGTATACCCTTTGCAGAGGGTACTATAATTTGAATTCAAAGCTACTATACACTCAGAAAACCATCTCCTATTATGAAAGTAGGACTAGTTAGAAAGAGGTCTTAGGTTAGCAATCCTCTTACAAATCCTCATACTCGGATGAGGCTTCTTAAGCTTCAAAAACTCCAACTCAATATCAATATCATCCAGTTTAAACCACTCTAATACTATGTCTGCAAGTGCATCTAATATTCTAGCATTCTTTGCTGTAATTGGTTGGCGTTTTGGCTTAACGCGCCTGCTGCTAGCTGCAGCATCAGGTCTCGGCCCAGCTCCTTGGGGTTCTTCATGGTCCATTAAGACGATTTAGGTTGGCTTCTCTTTTTTTTTTTTTGGGGGGGGCGGCCCGCTGCCTGCCGCTCCCAGTTGGAGGGCGGTCACGGCTGCGTGGGAAGATTCCGTTTGCTGGTTTGTTGTTGTCTCTGTTTGTCATCTCTCTGGCCTCCAGGCTTGATTGCCAGCCAATCTCTCGAGTGTGTAGTGTCCAAGTTGCTGCAACAAGTGTCCCAGTTTATGGCTTCGGATGGCTAGAAGCCGCAGAGAGCTGCCACAGCTACTAGCTGCTAGCAGTTAGCTGCTAGAACTAGTTTAAGTTTCCTGTCGGAGCGGCTCACATAGTCACATACTTACATAGTTGCGCACGCTTTTTCCTTCAGGGGCCCCGTTGCTGCCGTTTGTTGCGGTTGCCGCACCTTGGCCCCCACCACACCCCACTGACTGACTGTGACTCGAACTCCCCCCAGCCGCCTGTTATTAACCGTTTGGCCACATTTTCTCACACAGAGAGCACAGAAATGCTTTGCAGGCCACTCTCTGGCAATTGGCGCGCCTCTGGAAATGACAAACGGCCATGAGCATGAAGCAGCCCCCTAGAAGAGGTCGGAGGAAGAGGCAGGAATAGGTAGTATGTGGAGGCAAAGTCGAGGAGAGTCAGTGTGGCAGAGAGATGCCGCAGAGGACGGGAAAAAAAGCAGCGGGAAGCAGCGGGAGTCGACTCCAAATGGGAGCTGCACTAAATTACTGAAATCAAAAAATATTCCAAGTATTCCAGCCTGGAAAATTGATTCGAAATAACAGTATATTGAGTTGGAACGAGTATTTCTGGCATGAGTTCAATTCATGGGGAGTAATCGAAACGGGACCAGCTCAATCGATAACTCATCCAGCTATCGCTGTAATCAAAGTGGACACTCACTCGTTTTTATGATTAGTAGAATGTTACACGATCAACATTATAGATTTGATTAAAAATTCAGTTCTGAAAGTTTTCATTTTGATCTATGATCTCCCCTAGCCGATGCTATAGATACTTAGAATCACCAGCAGATACAATTGTTGAATTATTTCGGAGTCTATTTTTATGTGAAATCGTGGTTAAAGTTTCGGAAAATGCTGCTTAGTGGGAATCAAAATGATAAGTTTACTTTTAATCTGTGATTCCTAAGATTTAATTTGAGTTAAAGAAACTTCCAGTAGCAGTCGTTTGTCTTTAATTCATGGACATCCTTTTAATCCAAAAGAATTCCTAAAAATATTCCTGGCATGTAATTGAAATGAAAAGATTCCATCTTCTATTAGATAAACTCCTTGATCCGATGCTTCAAGCTCAAATCAGAGATCAAAACGATTGCAGCTTCCATTAGATCATAAGTATATGAATTATGTAGCTGAAGCATTTTTCGTTAAACTTTCAGCCGGGAACAAGTTTATCCAAAGAGCAGAGCTCCACATCAGTATGCAGTATGCTATGCTCCACATCAGGTTCATTAGCTTAGCCAAAAAGCCTAGCCAACCCTCCATTTGGTCTGTCTGCCTCCTCCCATAACGGGCTGCCAACCGTTCTCTCCTTGCGGCCCAGAGAGTCTCCACTCACGTAGCTGTAACTGATTTGACCTCCCATCACTTAGCTACCAAAAAAAAGAACCAACTCCTCCTCCATCGAAAGATTTCGCTGCCGTTCTGCCATTCTGTGAATGTTGTGGTTGGAGAGGGGACGTCGGGGCAACGGTGACGGTGACGGCGACTGTTGTGACGGTTTTTTGATGCTTGGCTGGAAAAGTGGCGTGACCTCGACAACAAATTTCTATTGGATGCAATTTGGAATATCGCATGCGCAAATGAACATTAACACTTTGGCCATGCGCTGAAGAAACACTAAAAAAAAACACAACACACAGCACTGAAAACTTGTTTGTACAATGCAAAAGTAATGACAAAAAGAAAAACAATAATCATAAAGGAATAGAGATGGTGTAGGAAACCGATTCAGAGATACCCTAACAGGGTCAAGGATGTATTGAATACAAAACAAATTAATAAAAAAAATTAATTAAGAAACAAATAAACAAACAAAATAATATGCAAGATAAATGTATAGGGACAGTATTAAACCATAATACAAATTTCAATATTTCGAAATTGCAAAGATTTTTGGTAGAACGATAAATTAAAGCTTTGGTTTGAAAATGTTCCTTCGGTTCTCAAAACTCCTTCGCCTTCGATAAACTTTGGTTCCAAAAAATGAATGTCTTATGATTATGATCTTCATAGAGAAAAGCCCTGAGCTTTCTAATGTTCTAACTTTTGGTCTTGGATTCTCTGAAGAACACTCATTGAGGACCACTAAAGAGAGCACTTGAGTTGGCAGCACAGCCGAGGCAATGCCTTGATTGTCTTTCGCTTGGTTAGAGTATAAACCATCAAAAACGGCAGCCAGGCCAGGGACCAACAAGAGAGAAAAAGTACGCTTAGAAATTAGAAAGTACGCGCGCGCGCTGTCTTGGGGAGAGGCTGTGTGGGGCTAAAAGCCGACGCAAGGCAGGGCAAGGCGAGGCGGTGGGGGGGTTATATGTATGTATGTGAGTATAACTCGATTTGTGACTGTCATAAATGGCGGAAATTGTGGGGCTCTCGAGACAAGGCGGCAGGCGGTGGCAGTGGCAGTGGCAGGCTGTTGGTGGCAGCCGGCCTCAACCGACTTGGGGGCTCTGTCTCTCCGGGCTAGCTTTCTACTGCCTGCCGCTGGTCTTCAGCTGTAGAGCCTCGTCTTCTGGTTCGGTTTTTTTGTTGCCTCTTTCTTGACTATAATTTGTGCCATCAGCATTTTGTTGTCGTTATCTTAGCAAAGCGAGCGAGTGACAGAGAGAGAGCGACAGAGTGAGC